GGCAGCTCCTCTACAGCAGAGCAGGTGCGTCCAGCAGAGAGGACAGGATGGAGCTACAGACAGCAACCAGTTTAAGGTATGAACATGTACCCTCGTTAAATTGCTGACTCTGACACCATGCGCTCCCAAACTTGACCTTTTGGTTGGAGGCTGTGAAACAATTTTGTCCTAACAGAGGGCCATGGTCCTGCAAAGGCTAAAAACACAAGCCTCCTGTTGTATTTTATTTAACCAAAATCAGAAGGTAAATCTCATAAAACTAAACATTGCCTCTAAAGTTGGTCGTGATCATTATAATTTCTGTAGTAGAAACACTGCATTATTATTGAGCACTTTTTTTGTTTTTTATTTTTAATACATTTGCATAGATTTCAAACAAACTGTTTTCACATTGTCATTATGGAGTATTGTTTGTAGAATTTTGAGGACAATAATGAATTTAATCCATTTTTGAATAAGGCTGTAGCCTAACAAAACATGGAAAAAGGTAAGTGCTGTGAATACTTTCTGGATGGACTGTATGGCCTATGGAGCAATGGCAGACTGTGACATTCATAGTTCTACCTTCTGAATGTACAACAGGTTTAGCATTTCAGTGATTTAGCAGTCATGATGCCACAGTGTCTATCATCGTTTACATTACATATGAACTTACATTAGCTTTTTGTTTTGTCTCGTCTTTTTAACCCAAAGGACTTTTAGCTGTAGCACGTCAGTCGAGAACCCAACCGAATATTCCTGCAGCAGCCCCTCACAAACATGTTACATTTTATCAATTAATGCCTGAACTCTGCACTACAGTCATTGTAATCAAACAGAGATATTGTTTTGAATGAATAACTGCCTTTATTAGACCTTAAGTAATCCTGTTGCACATCTGATGAGCTGTAAGTATGTTATTAAGTGTGGACTTTACCATCAAACCAGGAACCATGAAGTGCCTTGAAGGCCTTCCCTGAGTGCTCTGCAGAGAGACACTTCACATAGACACAGCCCTGTGGAGAGACCAGGAAGCGCAGGGTAACATCACTGAAGGTACAAGCATAAAAGTGGGACATGAACGGGCGCTCACTGGACGGAGCATACCTCTCGTGAGTTCTTGTCAACGGCGATGTGCACGATGCCATCATTGTCACTGCACTTCTCCAGGATAGCCTCATGAATGGCTAAATCCCAGTTCTCCCCAACCTCCCTAAAGACACAAAGATGTTACAAGCAGGGAGTCAAACTGGGGAAAAGACAACGTTCGGTAGACCTTCACAGCTCAGCAAACAAGCAGCAGAGACAAGTACTCACATGACTGGGTCAAACATGTTTCTGATCTTCAGACATGGAGTCAGGCTGTTGGGAGGTGAATTCCTCCGGTCCAGAGGGAAAGCTGAAGAAGAGAGATGAAATCTCAATGAGCTGATGATCATGATGATCATGTCAGAACACAGCTGGTTCAGTACAGTCCAGCGAACATGTGTTCATGGTAATCAGAAGGTACTCATAACAAAATGTTCACTTTACTTTGTTCATATTCACACTGCATTAGGGCTGCCCCCTGAAAGTCGACCAGCCAAATTCATCAGTCGACTAAGATTCTTCAAGTCAAACCCTGAATACCCACTTCAACTGGCCCAGTGACACTAACAACCCAACCATTGGTGACAGTATTCAGCAAATTGCTGCCCAGAATGAGGAACAAAATATACTAGGACAAGCAGCATAGAGGCGAGACTTGTACTTTATTAGAAGTGTTTTCAAATACTTTGGTCCACTTTTACAAGAGGAAAGCATATGTGCGTCCATTAAAGTTGAGTGCCTCTAGCTTTGTCACCTCCCATTTTAAATGTCAGTGTAGCTCACAACTCAACTGCTGTCATTAACCAATACATCTATTCATTTTGTCAGTTCGGTTTGTCCTGGTTTCTTCTTCTACAGCAGACCTTATGTCTATAGCACTCACTTCAGTGTCAAAGACCAATGCTGACTCCCGCATGGAGGAGGTTTGTCTCAAGCCAGAATGTACACATAATTTGTGTGTGCTCTCATGTGTGTTACCTTTCCCCTGCCAGACTTTGGAGGGCATCAAGGAGGACTTGTCACAACTGAGAGAAGGCTGGATCCACCTCCAGACCAGGAAGTCTGCTCCACCAATCCTCTGGGTCTCTGTTCGGATTCTGGACTCGTTAGCTGAGAGGAAGCGCATAGCCTGATCCCAAATCTTCTTCATTTTCTTCCTGTAATATGTTATACACATAACTCTCATGAAATGTTCTATCTGGATTATGGTCCAGCTGTAGCAGCGTTGGTACTGACCGGTCCTGAGGCTGAACCAGGGAGTCTCTGACATGGGGGATGGGCAGATAGGGCTGCAGGTCCTGGTTCTCTTGGCAAGCCTCATTGTGGCTCCTCAACACATCTGAACAAAATAGTCAGGGAAAACAAAGGACTATGGTGATAGAGCACTCAGAGAGGAACCTACAAGTCCATGAATTCCAGTGCCATTGAACACCAGGACTTCATGTGCATATAAACACACAAGAGCTTCAGAAAGCTACACCTGCCACAGTTTAGGATCTGAATACTTTTGTAAATGAGAGATTTTAGTTTTTCATTTTTATTTAATCAGAAGAAATTTCTAGAACCATGTTTTCACTGTCATTATGGCTTATTGAGTGTAGACTGATGGGCAAAAATGGTAATGTGATCCATTTGAATTAGAACACAAAAGTGTGCAATCAGTAAATATTTTTCCAAACCAACTGTGTTCACTGTGATTTAGGCGCCTCTATGCAGTAATACTTCATGTTACTAATTTATCATGGATAGTTTGTGTTAGCTTTGTCAGAAGCCAGATATCAGTTTCCTGAGTTTTCCACTGCTTCCAGTTTCAGTGATGCAACATGCTAGGGACCATCTTAGTACTGGACAAACAGATAAAAGTGATAATTCATTCCTAATCTCTCTGTGAGCCAGCAAACAGCAGTGTATCTCAACACGCCACTCTTTCTGTAAGTACAAACATAAGGTGAGCGCGTGGTGTTCCTTACCGATGATCCTCTCCACCATGTCATACATCTGCCTGGTCTCCTCCTCCTGTCTCCTCCAGCGATACTTCATGTAGCAGACCACACCCCACAGACAGCCTACCACTGCACACAGAGATACACAGGAATCACAGGTTCAAACACAACTGCTAGGGCAACCAGTTATGATGCAGTTCACACTACAAGGTTCCAGTAGGTTTGCTGTTGTTAGACAGTGTTTACTTCTCAAGCTGTGCTCAGAGTTCATTTGGAGGCTTGTACTTTGCACATTTGACAGCTGGACAGGGTTGCAAACTTAAGACTTTCACGGGCAGCTGCCCTCTATGGGAGTTGGAGAAAGCGCCAGTGAGGGAAGAGAGTAGGGGCCCTGGTTAAGTTATGATAGAGAGGGACCCAGAGGCCGCTCCAGTCTATCCACCTAGTAAATCTCTAGCCAAAAAAATGTTCTTCTTGTCAACCGGACTAATTCTGACTTCTCAAGCTCTGCTGCTCTGTGCTTGGGACAGTGTAATATAAATACAGGGATTCCAGGTATACAGAGCAGATCACATAAAGGAGTTAGCCTGGAAAATGAGAGGAGGCGAAATTCGCTTCTACATAAATGAAGGTTGGTGTAAAGATGTCACAGCATTGGAAAAAAAACTTGCAACGTGGGCTAAGACTCATCAACTGCAAACCATTTTATTCTCCCAGAGAATTTTCATCATTCATTCTGGTCAGAGTGTAAATAAGACTGCAGACCCACACTAGCACACTACAGCACCTGGCCAACCAGATAGCTAGCATGGAACTGAAACATCACCTCCCTTTCCCCCAGCCTGGAAATCTGTGAAAAGGATGTTTGTGGCCTTTTTAAAAAGCTCAAGAGGCAACAAGGCACCGGGCCCAGACAGAGTGAATCTCTCCTGCCTGAAAGCATGTGCTGATCAGCTGGCCCCAGCCTTTACACTTATGTTCAACAGATCACAGTCACCTGCTTTAAATGCTCCAGCATTCTCCTGGTTCCCAAGAAACACTCCATCAGTGGACTGAATTACTACAGACCTGTCACACTGACCTCTGAATCTACAATGACAACCCCTCAGTGCAATATGTTGTAAATATACTTTCATATATATTTATTTGAAAACTGCATCTAAACTGTGTGTATATACACATATACAGTATTTTATAAGAACTTTATTTTTATTTTTCAAATGTGCATTCCCTTTTCTGGTTTGCACATTCTTTTTCATTTATTGTTCTCTCAGTCTTATCTTGTTTACTCGTTGCCTTATAGAAGAACATCGTACTTGCACACTGAGAGCCAATGTACCAGAGTCAAACTCCTCGTGTGTTTAACACACATGGCCAATAAAGCCGATTCTGACATTATCACAAAAATGTATTTAAGCATTATAAAAGTAGTAGTAGGTTACTCGGTGCAGAAAAATATACTATACAGTAAATCCTATTCTGTTATACTATTATATCATTACATTAATAGCCTTGCACTCACACTGTTTACACCAAATGACTCAAGGCGAAACCAGTCTCAATGAGAACTGTTAACACCTGGAACGACTGTGCACAGGCCAGCCTGCAGGGCTGTCTAGAGGCCACAGACTGGAGCATCCTCAAAGGGGCCACAGACGACATCCATGAATATACAGAGACTGTGAGTGCCTACATCAGCTAGTGCACGTCCATATGCGCACCTGCTAGAACGGTGCACGTTTTCCCCCAACCAAAAACCCTGGTTTACTAGGGATATAAGACAGAAAATCAGGAAGAGACGAGAGGCTTTTAAGTCAGGGGACCAAGCAGAGTACAGGAAAGCCCGGTATGAGCTACAGAAGTCCATTAGAGCTGCAAAGAGAGCATACTTCCAAAAACTGGAGAGCAACTATATGAATAACAACACGCGAAGTATGTGGCAGGGAATCCAGGCAGTCAAAGTACAGGAACAAATCAACAAACACAGGCCCCCAGGATGCCACCCTCCCAGACAGCCTCAACAACTTCTATGCGAGGTTTGACAGGATGAACACAGATACCTCCTCAAAATCCCCCTGCAACCTGGGGGACACCGTTTTTCAGGTGACGCACACACACAGGTCCTGAAGGCCCTGAAACAGGTAAACCCCCATAAGGCAGCAGGACCAGACATTGTCCCCCCCTAGAGTGTTGAGAGCCTATGGGGATTAACTAGCTAGTGTGTATACAGACATCTTCAACTTGTCTTTAACCCAAGCAGTAGTTCCTGGCATTTTCAAAAAGTCCATTATCATACCGGTCCCTAAGACATCAGACACATCCAGTCTGAATGACTTCAGGCCAGTGGCGCTCACATCAGTCGCCATGAAGTGCTTAAAGAAACTGGTCCTCACACACATTAACCACATGGTCCCGGACACTGTAGATCCCCTCCACTTTGCCTACCGCCCCAACAGATCAGTGGACGATGCGACAGCTCTGGCTTTATTCCATACCCAGAAACACCTGGATAACAGCAGTACGTATGCTGGGATGCTCTTCCTGGATTACAGTTCTGCATTCAACACCACTGGAGGAAGAACCCCTCCCCTCTGCTGCCTCTGACCATCAAAGGGTCCGAGGTGGAGAGGGCTGACAGCCACAAGTTCCTGGGCCTTCAGGTGACATCTGACCTGAGCTGGTCACTGAACACAGCTGCCACAGTGAAGAAAGCCCAGCAGTGGCTATACTTCATCAGGCGGCTCAGAAAATCTGGGCTGAACCGTCGCTCTCTCACCCAGGCTTATAGAGGACTGGTAGAGAGCATCCTCACTACTGGCATCACAGTCTGGTATGGTAACACCACACAGGCAGAGAGGAAGGCTCTTCAAAGGGTCATAAAGACTGCAGAGAGGATCACTGGGACTGAACTGCCTGCTATGGACACACTATACACACAGCGCTGTCATAAAAAGGCAGAGAATATAATCAGGGATCCATGCCACCCAGCTCACTCTCTGCTCAGACACAGAAACTACAGCCTCAGGCACAGCAGGGCGGACAGCGTGGGAAATACTACCGACCTATTTTTGTGTATTGTGGTTTTAATACTTTGTCGCCTTTATGTAACTTTTCTATTTTAAGACCAAGTGTTCTTTCTGGCTTTTGACTCCTTAGCTGACTCCAAAGGAGAGCTGCACAAGAACTCCTATATGCCTAGACTGTCTGTTTATGCATAAATGGGAAATAAAAATCTTGAATCTTGAATGAATCATGCATTCTTTTGAACTTCTTTGTATCTAAGTGCATCTATTGACTAGTTTCATTATGGATTAACCAGCTGATTATTTTCTCCATTAATCAGATGACTGGTTTGTAAAAATCCTAGCAACAGTGAGAAATTCCATCACAGCAATTATCAAAATAGCTGCTAACTTATTGTAGGTGCACAACAGCGCAGCCAGACTGATCCCATCTGCAACTTCACTCACACTCTCCTATGTGAGCTGGCAAAGCTTCATAAAGCCAGGCGTATTTCTTGATGGGGTGATATCAGGATCACTGTGAGTCCGTTGTAAATGAGAGGTTAGCAAACAAACAATAAGGAAAATTATTTCGATAGCGCATTTTATGACCGACGTTTATATGCTCACACATTTTATAGTTTGGGATGAAAGTTATAAATGGGACACACCTGGAGGGATGGGGTTCTGAAAGGTGTGCTTTTTTTGGTCTATCCAAAGTAATCCTGCGCTGCTGATTTTAATTTCCTTTTTGGTGGACGGAGTTCGGTGAACTCGGCCTCCTTTTCTCTGCCATTTATCCGCCACATGTGTGCGTGTGGCACCCGTTGACAGTCTTACAGTCAGTCGGGGAAAAAAGGTGCGCACACACTGTGTTTTTTTTTTCTTTAATACCAGTATTAAACAAATGTGAATGATATGATAACTATAATTTTTCATACCATGGCATACCGTGAAACTGGCATACTGCTGCAACCCTACAGCTGGAGTGGAGTATTTTGCAGTTTGTGTCTTTACCAGTAAAACCAAGCTCTGAACTGGTTTCTGGATTATATTTGTACATGCGTGGCATTTCAGAGTTGCTCCATCCTTTTCTCCTGTTTATTCCTGCCTCAACTGTGGCTTGTACACAGCAGAACATGGTTTGTGGTGTTTATCTGTCTCATTTTGTCTATTGTATTTTTCAGTGCAGGCTCCAGGGACTGCATGGAAAGTAGTTAGTTACAGAGGCTAAGACCTTTTCTCATCTACTTACAGGTATGTCAATATTGTTTTAAGACCAAGTTGAAAAACCAAACCAAACCCATCCTTCAGTTCCATCCGTATTTTCTCATCTTATTTTCTCTTAACATAGAAAATTTAATACAATTTGAACGGAATTCCCAAAGAAAAACATGCGCTACATATTGTTGCATATCTCATTTCTACTGTGTTATTTTAACACGAAAGCGAAAGCGCTTGCCAAGAATGTTTTCATTAATTGTCGGTTTACATTTAGTCATCATTGGTGACACTAACAGATCAAGGTTAACATTTTTCAGGCCTGCTGTTGTTTATGTGGTGTGGTTAATCTCACCAGCTGCAATGAGGAAGACTCTGCTGATGACGGTGAAGAACGCTCGGCGGAAGCGACAAGCAAAGGGCATCTTTGGATGTGTGGACTCCAGCCGCGAGATCTCGGACACGTCGGTCACTGGTTCGTCAGCTCCCTGCCCAATCAGCCTGCACACACACACACACACACACACACACACACACACGCACACACACAGAGTGAGAACTGTCCTCACATCCACACACTGCTGTTTCTGCAACACCGTTTCACATGAATATTGTGTGTTACCTTATCCCAACATCCCGGCCTGTCCTGATGATCCACTCCAGAGAAGTATGAGTCAGATTTTCAAACTCCCAATTCTGAGTCTGAACAAAAAGACACACGGTGCAGGTGAGAGGAACAGCACATATCAGCTTCCAAGTGGCCCATACATCAACTTTTGACTCCAGCAGTGCAATATCATGTCATCATTGTACTGTAAAAGTATAAATGCAACTGTGTGGGATGACAATAAAGGTCCTTGCATAAGTGTGTTGCTGTGTGGATAACTACATTTCTGTGTGAAATGTGTACTGGCTGAGAAAACAAATCTTTTAGGACAAAAAAAAAGACTATCTATAATCTTGTAAGTGAGAAAAAAAAAGCTATGCTGGGACCTTTACAAAAGCTCCACCCTCCAGTAACAGGAAAAACACAGCTCCACTTATGCTCTCAACACTCATAACATCATAACCAAAACAAACAGCCTAGAGAAAACACTCTGCTGTATTCTTCCAAAGTGATCCTTCTGCAAAATTCACTGAATATATTGACCACTGAAATCTCTGCTTGTTCAAGTAACACAGAGATAATAGCGATGCAACAGGTTTTGTTCAACAGGCAGGGATATTAGTGTGTAAATGTACCAGTAAATATGCAGAGGCCTCGTCTATGGACAGACTCCTGTTGGGATGCTTCTGGTCTCCACAGTCATGCTGGCCTGCAATCACAGTATCAAAAAGAGCTAACTGCTTGGGTCAACACAATGGCTCTCCACAACCCACTACTCTACTGGCATCATAGAATCTGGAAATTGGTTTCATGCGTTTTCAATCTGTATTTCCTACATTACAGCAACTCTCTCAAACTGCAATAGTGTGATAGTTATTCTCATGATATAGTCTAATAATGTCTTGTGCTACACACTACCGGATTTTGCTTACTTTCATTTGTCCTGTGAATATGAATGAATGTGTACTGATACTGTGACCAGAAAGAGAAAATGCTTTACTCTGCACAGCTCTACACAGTCTGTGGCCACATAGTATAGTGCAGAGAGGTAATAGCTACCAGCGATGTGGGCCAGGTGGTCATGTAGGCTGAGCAGTAGCTTTAGAATCAGGTCCTTCTCCGCCTTGTCCTGCAGACAGTAAACATTTAGTTAAACTGAATAACTTTCTGAGAGCATATTTTCTGTGTTCCAATTCAGGGGACGCATTGTTTGAAGGCTGCATGTGAAGACCGAAGCATCGCAACAAGGCCGCCCCATTTCGAAGGCTCCTTCAAATGCAGCCAAGAAACGCGTCCTTTCGCCAGGCACCGAAGGATCCAATTGGTGAATCCTTCATGGCTCAGCTGCCAAGGTTGCTAGGCGACAGGAGCAGCGTGGCCCATGGTCTAGCCTCCGTGGCCTACAACGGCTACATAGGCCACACCTTCGTAGACTGTGTCCTTTGAAGAATGTGGCCCCTGAATTGAGACACAGCTTTTAATAGCTGGAAAACATTTTAAAAAAGCAAAATAATAAAATCTAGTAGCAACGTCCTGATCAAGTTTTTTTGGCCCCAATCCTGATCCAAGTTCTTTAATATTGGGTGTCTGCAGAATCTGAACCAATACTTGTATTTACTTAAATGTTGTTTAATATATGCCTGACATATAGAGACATCAGCAGTAGCTACGAAATCTGACACATTATTCATGAGTTACTTGATCCAAATATTGAAAGTCGTGCTTCAAACAATTACATTCTGAAGCTTAAATTACAGATTATATGAATGATATGAATGAAAGTTAAACTGGAAGAATGCAGCTACTGAAAATGACAACAATATAAAGTTTTTGTTTTGTTTTGTTTTTTTTACAATTCAATTTTTCATTAACAAGAAGTCACAAAAATGTCTGTATATGCTATCGATAACAGTTCTTAGAAAGAAAGAAAATTGGAAGCGGCCAAAATTAGAATCGGCAGATCAGACTTAATAAAAAAAACAAAAAACAAAATCAGAATCAGCCAAGAAAATTGCAATCAGCGCATCTTTACTGTACACAGAACTAATAGAGACAGTCCGGGGAATAGATCTACTTACATATGTAGCATCAAACTCATTGCCAAAAGGATGGCTCTTAACTGTAACAAAAGGAGAAAGAGACAAAGTCAGGGAATAGAAACAACAGCGTGTTCATTAAAACCTAACACAATAAACATGCAAAGAGACAAGATGGGTAAAAGCGCAGAAACAACAGCATGTTCATTAAAACCCAACACAATAATCATGCAAAGAGACAAGATGGGTAAAAGCAATGAAACGCTTGGTCTTTTACAATCTGATGGCATGTCTGGAGGAATGGAATGTTAGTGTAGTACAGACACTACTTAACACACGCCATTGCCTGTACAGGAAGTTCAAGGTGGGAAACCTCACCACATTAGCTAGGCCCTCGGAACACTGCCATCTCACAGACACACAATTCATTAATGCAAGAACTGTAGCTTGCTGGCTTTTAAATAGGATGAAAAGACAAAAAAATAGAAACACCTTTCAACACATTTGGCACAAAAGTCCCAATGAAATCTGCATGTAAAAAAAAAAAGCAGGTGTCAAACTTTGTAGAAAGCTGTTTCACATGGAAGGGAATGCGCTCAACATGTTTACTAAATGCAAGAATGGGGCGCAAAAGCATTTTATTCATCTCAATGCATTCTGAATCTGATGTAGACAACTGAATCCAGTGAAACCACTGGCAGAAATGTGCATCCCTGTGTGTCTGCACATCTTTGGCATCTATGAGATTATTCAGTTGATCAAGTTTTTAACCTTAACCTTTTAATTCATCCATATATCAAGATGAAAGTTTGGGCCGCAGCTTGGAGACTGCTGAAAAATGATTTGCTTGATCACACAAACACACCATAAACACCACCATCTAGAACCTGTTGGGGGCCAAGACTGAACCAACAATAGTGCCAACATTTCTTATAGAGGAATGGATTACGTTATGATATGGTAGCTGGCTCTGGTTATGAAAAAGCACAGCTAGTGAGTGCACCAACAGGAGGGATCGATTGAACACAGGACTGTGCGCACTGATGTGTGCTCTGGGTTTGTGGTTATTGTCTGTTTACACAAGGTGAAGCCTTGGTAGTCTGGTGAATAGTGTATAATATTCAGTTAGATAGCTAGTGATACATACCCACCTGCCTGAAATATCAGGCTGATGTCTTATGAAGAAACACAAGTAGTGGAAACAGATGGATCAGACCACATCCACACAGACTTTCACTCTGCATGAAAGATGCAGCCCTTCTCATTCAATGGGGGGAGTGTATCATGCAACAGGGACCAGCACAACGCACAACAATGCAGCATCACACAGGGAAAATAAAAGCTAGATTTGGTTCAGCTTTTTCTGCAAAGCAACACGACATCCTCCAGCAAGGTGCTGCAATGGAAGATCACGTACATGTTATTTCTGCAGTTCACCTCAAGATCCTAACAATGAAAGATAAAGTAGCTGCCTTTTGATTAACTTCTCAGAGTTGTACAGCCCTGTCTGTGAGTATTACAAACCACTGTGCTGTGTTCTGGAGGCTAGTAAGCTCCAAACACATAAATCTGCTCCTCCAACATGGCTTCCTGGATCATTCCACCAGTGCATGAAACAACACATCTCCACCATCCAAGACCCCTGTGTTTTCTCAATGTAGGAGAGTGATCTGTGTGACTCCGGCCTTGAGATGAAAGCTTTTTTACTAAACATGCAATGTCGTGTCATTTTGGCAGAGCACTCCATGGTGCTGGTCTTTGCTGTGGAACAATATTCCCCCACTCAAACTAGGGAGAAGGGTGCAGACAAGAGTAAAAATCCATGTGAAGTGTGCAGGTTTATAGCACTAAATTGTCGGTGGTGAAACTGATAGATACCTCAATCTTGGTTGAAGCTGTGACAGCTAATGGCTGTATGGCATAGTCTATACTTTTTAAAATGTGCAATAGGCTTTATAGTAGTTTTTTTATATTTCTGTTCAAACGTATTCATTTTGCATTTGTGATAAAAAAAAAAAAGATCATTTTTGTGAATCTTCCAAAGCCTGAAAAAACCCCATCTGTTTTTGCCACGATAGGAAGTTGTAGTAAACTCCACTGCAGGTGTATTCAACAGCAGGTAGTATGTCACTCTTTCAATTTATCAAACAAATCCCACAACTGTGCCTCCTCCATCTACTTAAAACAGCGACATTAAATTGTCAGTAGGCATCTTTTTCATGTGGAAAAGCTTACATCGCACACCCTGTGTGATACTTACTGACTCCATCCACCTCAGATGATCCAGAGCCCCTCATCCTAAGGTACATGAGGCCCAGCAGCAGGAAGAAGAGGCAGGCTGCCATGAGCAAGAACCAGGACAGGTAGTGAGCGCTAAATAAGTTGCCAGAGGAAGCCACTTCTTCTCTTTTGAACTGCTGGAGCAGCTCCTCCTCCGGTGCAGAGAGCTTATGCTTCAGCAGGGCCTGGCTGTATGAGTGGTTGGGAGCGCTGTGATTGGAGTGGTTGCCCCTGTAGGTCTGGGACAGGCTGCTGTAGTTGGAGAAGCGCGGTCTCAAACCAATGCTGAACGTGCTGCTTCTGGAAGCTCCATCCTCGCTGTCGACGTGGTTGTTTTTGCCGGCCTCTCCTCGATGGTTGTCGTTGAGGGACACGTAGATGGGCTTCTTGGGAAAGTAGTGGCCCCGCAAGCCTCCCGATGGGCCCGTGTCCCTTCTCTTTATCTCGTCTTCCTCGTCCTCCCCCCTCCATCGTCGCACCATGTTTAGACTGCCAGGCGGGTTAACCTCTCTGGCTGCCCCACCCGTCTGAGAACCTCGGCCAACTCCGCGGGAAGAGAACGACGCTTTTGGGTGGCTCCGTCTGGGTTCCAACAGATCCAGCTTTCGGTGTCGGGCGCCAAAGCCCCCAAGCACCTCCTCGTCAGAGTCGGAGTAATCCCCTGCTAGCTTGCTAGTGTTCAAGTTAGACCCCCCACAACCATTTAAAGATCGCGAGTTCTTCTCCGTTTCCCCCATATAATCGTCCTCGCCTTCTGATTCCTCGTCTTCCCTCCCTTCCGCCTCAGAGCTGGATCTGGCACGAACTCTCCAGCCGAGCGAAACATTTCTCTGTCCATCTGGACCCGGGGAAGAATTGTTGCTATTCAGGGTACTCCCAGCATCATACTCATTCTTGAAAGCCACACTCGCTGCTGTAACTGGCCTTGTCTTCGGTTGCTGTGACGAACTGGGACTTCGGTCTACCCTGACGCTGTGGCTGAGGCCCTTTCGTTTCAGTGGAATTTCGACGTCCGACTCGTCGGAGCTGAAGCCGAGGACAGAAGACTTCCGGTCCGGTCTCCTGCTAGAGCTCAGGTGCGTGACGTCATGACTGGCTGGGCGGGACTCGTGTTGCCGCCGCCAGTGGTAGTGTTGATGGCCCCGCTGCTACGGGTTTTACCCAGTCTGGAGCCCCGCTGCTGTTGCTCCTCGCGAAGCTTCTTCAGTTTCTTCAAATACACCGGGCGTGTGTTTTCGGTAACAGGGCCTGGAGTGAAACCAAAGCGCTTTAATTCGGAGAAAAGCTCCTCATCTGTTAACTGCATTGACGCCATCTTAGACAAAACTCTCGGAGAAGGTTGTGAGACGGAAATGACGTAGAGGTGAAGCGGCAGCAGACCGATTGGGCTGCGTTCAAAATCAACATTAACCATTTCGATAATTCTCACATTTATAGTTTTGAGTAACTTGTGAGTTCTGACACCTTTCCTACTTAATATAAAAATATCAATAGGTAATAAATTCTATTCTTAGTGTGATTCTAAAGTTGATGACCCTGAACAGCTAGAGTCTTTGTAAATGACACGGCCAGGTTACAGCGTGAATTAGTCTAGGCTACAGATGGAAAATTACTCCAGGTGGAAAATTACTCCAGGTGGAAAATTCACCTGGAGTAAAACTCCAAATTTTCTAAGATTCGGGAGTAAAAACATGCTTCCCCATATAACTGTGTTATTCTCACCCACAGACTGTTGTTAATTCAATTAAGAAAAAATTCAGTACAAATTTGTGCATAATCTCATACTAGCTCTTACATCTCAAAATTTGTAGAACTCATCAACAAATGTGTTTTTTGTAAAGCCAGAGATGATACAATTAAATATTTATTTTATTACAGTTAATATGCAAAAGAGATCTGGGGAAAACTGGATGATTTAAATTGCCAATCAAAAATCACAAATACAACTGTAACTCACTAAATTTAGTTAGGCTAAATTTGTCAGACTTTAGAAGTCTCTTCTATCTAAATTATTTCAGTAAATGCCTTCTGCACCCTTATGAGTATGTGTTCATACTTATGTTTTTTTTTTTATTTGACTCCTTAGCTATATAAATATTATTGCTATAGGATCCCTTTGTTAAACTCCTGAAGTTTGCACATGACACAACAGTCATCAGTCTCATCCAAGACAGTGACATATTGGCTTACTGACAAGAGGTTGAACAGCTGGCCTTGTGGTGTGGTCAGAACAAACTGGAGCAGAACATACTCAAAACAGTGGAGGTGACAGTAGACTTTAGGAAGAGCCCCCACCACCACCACACCATACTCAGCAGCACTGTATCAGCAGTAGAGTCCTTCAAGTTTCTAGGCTCCATTATCTCACAGGACCTGAAGTGGATGTCCAGAGAGGATGTACTTTGTGCGCCAGCTCAGGAAGTTCAACCTGCCCCAGGAGCTGCTGATACAGAGGAATCATCAAGACTGTTCTCTGCTCTTCCATCACTGTCTGGTTTGATTCCAAACAGAACAGGAATCTGCTTCAGCAGACAGTCAGGACTGTAGAAAACATCATTAGTGCCAGCCTGCCCTCCATGGAGGACATGTCCACCTCACGGGTCAAGAGGGGAGCAGTGAAGATTCCTGCAGACCCCTCACACCCTGGAAATCTGTCTGAGCTCCTCCCCTCTGGATAGCACTACAGGACACTGTACGCCAAAACAACCAGAAACACAGTTTCTTCCCCTGCACCGTCACTCTGATGAACATCTAATCGATGACTGTAAAATAGAACAACAACCCTCAGTGCAACACCTTGTATATATACAACCTTCAACCAAATTGGATATGTATTGGTATATTTACAAATACTTTATTTGTATTTTTCTAATGCACATTCATTTTTCTTGTTTGGACATTCTATTTCTTTCCTTGTTCTCTGTCTTATCTTGTTTACTTGTTGCCTTACAGAAGAGCATGTACATACACACTGATAGCCACTGTACCAGAGTCAGATTCCTTGTGTCCAACACATCTGGCCAATAAAGCTGATTCTGATTCTGATGTAATCTTTTTTCCCTCATTGTAGCCCTCCTACAATATGTCCTTATTTTTCTTTACATTTCATGTCTTAATTTAACTTAGTGAAACTACCATATATTTTAGCATTTTTACTTACTTTTTTATATACTAATAGCTAAAGTATAACAAGATAATGAAATACTACTCCTTTCAGAGCTGATACTTCAATTTAACACAATATCATCAAGCACAAACCATCTGCATTTCCCTTGCCTTACAGAACTTGAACTTTGACTTATCTCACTGCGTTGTTCCCTGTTTTAACATGTGAACAGGTCAGTGCATTTTGTCTCCCTTCTTCTCAGGCAATAGATTTCAGCAGCAACTTCTTTGGGGTAATGCATTTCAGATTCAGTATTTAGTAATGCAGTTAATTTGTCTGATACTAATCCAAAGCATTTGCTCTTTCCAAATTTTAATCATTTTAGTTCTACTTCCAACATTGGCAGTATGTCATTTACTTCTCAACTTTTCCAGCAATACTTTTAAACTATCAGCTTCTTTAGCTAGTGGACTAAAGCTTACAGCTCTGATGTAATGTCATAGCTTACAGATGTTCAGAGCAATGAATTCGAGATGTTTTCAGGAATTTCCCCCAGTGCATGGCCATTAATTTCAGTTGTCTGTTCTGCATGAAATTTATTGTCTAGTTAGAAGGTCACATCTATTGTATAAAGACAAAATGGCAATCAATGTTTCTACACAACTCTTATAATAAGTACCCTTGACCACCATTGGAACTTGGAAAAAAATCTTTATAATTTAGATTAAGTTTTTAAAAACAAATAAATATTGATTTTAAAAAAGTATAAACCCCGTTAGTAGTATTTAGTATTTTTAAGGCTGTTGATATATCCTCTAAATTTTTATACAATCACATCAAATAATTTGCCTCTACTATATGGGGGGGGATATATCTTATGGAGTTTCAATGCTTGAAACTCCATAAGATATATCACCTACTATTTATCCAAAACATTTAGATTTAAATCTTCACCAAGTTCAGAAGAGTTTTAGCTTCTGATTCCAAACACTGTGCACATTTACACTACCAACATACAATGTATAATCTTCTTGTATTGTACTGTAAAGCATTAACAGGTGTGGACCATATGAGGGGTGCAGTAGTACATTCAACAATAAATTAGTGGAATTATAGATCTGAAAGTCTGCTGAGACATTCTGCTGTACTGAAAAATATACTTTGGAAAAAGGAAAGCCTTTCTTGCACCAAAACAGATGAGCAGCAATTAGGCCAGTTGGGGGCGCTATTGGTAGTGTACATTTAAGTCACACAGCTGATTCAGTACATTTTGGATCATAAGAAAACACAACTTCACTGATATAGATCTACTTAATGCAAAGGCAGAGTCAGTTACAAGAAGTAGAAGGGTAAAATAAAATGAAGCACATAATCCAGCTGCCTGGAAAGACAGTTCACCAGGCACACACAGATTTTTTGATTTATTAAGATACCTCCCTGAAGTCTCACATTTGATGAACTTCAGTACAGTAACACTCACATAAACACAGGGTAATCACAGCACAGGCATACCTGTGGGTTTCCAGTAAAGCTGTTGGATCAACAACAAGCTGTTACAACTAAGTAAAGCAGTTTGAAGTGGTACTGCAGTTTTCAGTGCTTCTTCATAGAGTCGAGGACACGCAGGATATGCAGGAAGAGGTTGACAATGTCCAGGTAGAGGTTGATGGAGGCCAGGATGTGCTCCTCAGGGGAGAGCTGCTTCATCAGCAGGCTGGTGTCATAGATGATGAAGCCGCAGAAGACCAGCGCCCCGGCTCCAGCCATGACCAGCTCTATGCTGTCACTGTTGAAGAAGAACTGCAAAGAGAACAGAGTCAGTATGAAAAGGGGGTCGTGTGAGGCTGAAGGTTTCTCTTTACAGTTTTAGCAGGTGTTTAGACTGAGTCTGGTAAAACGCAGGTCCCTGCTGTGTTTTTATGAATGGGGCTGCGGTGGTTGGGGGGTGGGGGGTTGCAGAGTCTTGTTGGTGTGTAACGGTCACATTGTGAGGAGTCAACATGAGTGACTTCATTCCCAATCCAGCCCATGAGTTTCTGTTGTGTTTTGGTTAGCCATGCTGCTAATGTAGCCTTTTCTACCTTAGCACCAATTCTACCACCAGGGTGTTTTTAACATCTAGTACTAACAAAATGCATGGCGTGTTGCTATGGTGCATTAACTGTGGCCAGAAATCAACAGTGAATAGCAGTGATTGCTAATGCTAACAAGGTAAACAAAGGAGTATTCTTCCTGTGGGTGTCCACAGCCCGATCATGCCCCTACATGATTGGTCAAAGCAGTGCCTTTACTGGATGATGTCACTGTCCAGTGTGTACACACGCAGTGGCATGGGGCCTTCAGCTCCAAACAAAATGTTGTTGTTACAATGACAGTAAAGAGGATTCTACTTACTGTTACGTAAGCAAAGTGTGTTGGGTGCAGAGTAAAGGGATGTTTTATTCCAACAAGAACTGGCTATTTTGAACGCTGCAATATTAGTGTTCCAATCTAAATGGGCAACAAGTATGTGGACAATCCTGTTCCACAGCCTCCACGTCTTTTGTTGTTTCTTTTACTTTCTGTTTGTTCCTTTCTCTTTTTACTTTGTCTTCCTTTGAATCTTTCTCTGTTTTCACTCAGTTTGTTAATATCTTTCTTCCTTTCTCTTTTTGCTGCTGGGACTTAAAAGAACACTCAGTTTCCTCATTAATGTCAGTGGGGCCAAACAAAAAAAACTGAACCGGGCTTAATCCATCATCATCATCATCATCATCATCAAGTTGCTGCATTGGCCAACTAAATACAGGCACGGTAGAGTACCATCAATTCTTTCATATGAAATAAACACATGAATGTGACACAGTTCCACTCACCCTCATAAAGCCTGCAATGATAAGGATCCACAGGCAGGCGAACAGTCTATAAGGACAGAACAGAGCAGACATTGTGAGTGAGCAACCCTAGAGGAAGGATACAGTTACACTGTTAAAATCACTGTCCAGAACATGGCTACATCTCAATTCCCTTATCTGATTTTTCTTCACTCATCCATGAACTTTGAAGCCAGTATGGTGTTCCATCTTGAAGACTGTCTCAAAGCTCTTATTTCTGCTTTGAGTAATTAGGATTGAGGGGGGGATCTCTGTGGAGCCATAAGCACTAGACCATCCTTCAAGGATTTCTCTTCACCTCTTTATTTGGAAATCTGTTGGTGACTGGAGACCGTGGCTGCTCAGACTGATTTAAAACCTCGTCTCATCATCACCACAGTTCTATACAAATCACAGAGCTCACAAATGTATGCTTTAGTTTGTGCAGATTCTCAGTCATCCAGGTCATAGTAAGCTGAAAAAACTAGGTTTTTAGGTCGAAGACGTTTCACCTCTCATCCAAGAGAGGCTTGTGGATACCCCAAGTGGGCCTTCGCCAAAGTAAGGAAGAGGCCCAACACCAAGAGGGAGAAACCAGAAGCCAGAGGGGATGACACTGTCATCCATTATGTGGCTGGTTTATCAGAGAAGTTAAAAAGGATCTTTCACAACCACAATATCCCAGTCAACTTTAAACCAGGGAACACCCTGCGGCAGAGACTGGTCCACCCAAAGGACAAAACACCCAGACATAAACAGAGTGATGTGGTGTATGCAATTAAGTGTAGTCAGGAGTGTAACGACTTGTACATTGGTGAAACTAAGAGGCCGCTTCACAAACACATGGCCCAACACAGGAGGGCCAACTCCAGTGGACCAGAGTCAGCAGTCCACCTCCACCTGAAGGACAAAGGACATTCTTTTGAGGACAGTGAAGTCCAGATCCTCTCCAGAGAACATAGTTGGTTTGAGAGAGGAGTCAAAGAAGCAATTGTTGTCCAAATGGAACACCCCTCACTAAATAGGGGTGGTGGACTAAGACACAACTTGTCATCCATCTAGAACTCTGTTTTAATATTTCTGCCCAAACATGCCCACCAGGACAATAGGCATCGGTCCACAGGGGACATTGTTGGCCATCAAAGGACTGAAACACCACCGATGGGGATAATTATCTCCGACTTAACGCCAGTCGGGCACAACTGATGAAGCCTCTTGGATGAGAGGTGAAACGTCTTTGACCTAAAAACCTATTTCAGTTAATTTTTCTATGTTTTTTCAGCGTATGTTTTAGTTGTTTTCAGTTTCACCATCTAGTTAGTAGAGGATCTGTGTTCAGTAAAAAACTTTCTTCATTCATTGAGTTTTTCTCTTCAAGATCTACAATCAATTTCTTCTATCAGTAATACAGTCAGAGAGAAGAAGAAACTCTGATGACTTTCAGCAATAAACACATTCATTACTTTCACTCAGTCACACAGGAGGATGAAAATCGTCGAGTAACAACTTCGTTTGATCCACAAGCAGATGAGCCACCGTCATCAGAAGCAGGTGTCACTTCAGATTACATGAGGAGAAGACACAAGTAACATGGATAAGGGATCTGAGATACAGTATATCCTATATGTAGCAGAAGCCATGACACACTTACCCTGCTCCCATTTTGCTGAAGTCTCTCTTGGACTGGAATGTGTAAGCTGTCAGTCCAGCAAACACGGCACAGGTCAGGAACAAGGCTTGTAGTACAGTGGAGTATTCATAGAAAGTCACTGTGGAGAGAATAACTGTGCAGTTAGGACAAGCTGGCAACAAGCTCAAAGAATGGATAGTGACAGCTCCTTAAAAAGATTACTTACAAGCTGTGGCCACAGAAACAGCCTCCAGCAGAGTCTGCAAACAACAAACAATTAGTGGCACCAACATGCTAACCACCTAAAAGCTATAAATACATAAATGTTACAGGCACAGGTCAGCTAATCCATTATTGCAAAATGAAATAGGTAAATACATAGATTGGGTAAATATACACTGAACCCCTCTGCATAAAATATATTACAGTGAAACTCAAGCTTGATATTACATTCACCAGTCATCCATTATCTATACCGCTTATTCCTGAATAGGGTTGCGGGAGGGCTGGCGCCAATCCCAGCTGACACTGGGCAAGACTTGGGTTACACCCTGGACAGGCTGCCAGTCTATCACAGGGCTGACACATAGACAAAGAACCACACATGCTCACACTCACTCCTAGGGGAAATTCAGAGTTGCCAATCAACCTAAGCATGTTTTTGGACTGTGGGAGGAAGCCGGAGTACTCGGAGAGAACCCACGCAGACACAGGGGAGAACATGCAAACTCCACAAAGAAAGGCCCCGTGTTTGCCGGGGCTCGAACCATGGAACCTTCTTGCTGTAAGGCAACAGCGCTACCCACTGCCCCACTCTGCCACTATTCATTAGTCAGCTAATCTAAATGTTCTATTCCCTAAGACTGAGTGCTGAGACAAAACAATTAACTACTTAATAAACTGTAAAAATGAAAGACTTACAAATACAATCAGCAGGTAGAGGTTGACTGGATGTTGGTGCCTGTATATGGCCAGGGCCACCAGGACAACCAGAGAGCCCAGAGCCGAAACCAAAACCACAGCAGGGCTGAAGAAGAAGCCATATTACAGTTGGACAAGATGCCAACAAAAGCTTCATAAATGTTATTCATAAAAGATGTACTGTACATCAACCAACAATTATACAATCAGGTTTTAAGTAAGAAAAGACAACTGCATATACAAGATGTCTATAATGTTTTTAATCAAGTATCAAAACAGGAATAATGTGCGGTTTTGGAAGCATTATACATCCAACCACCCTTTTTAGGGGGTGTTAGCCGTACCAGAATGAAAGGTTTGTCAAGGAAAAGTCACTGGTTTTCTAATCTTTCAGTGTTAAGTGGGTCATGAAACTGTCATATATTATCTTTGCATTTGATCTTTCACATCTTGGTTAGACACCATCCTCACCTGGCGTGCACAAAATCCCTGATGGTATGAGAAAACATGAAGAGGGCAGAGGTGGCTGTGGTCAGGATGATCTGCAAGCTCAGGAGGGTGTACACCTTCCTGAGGAAGTCTTAGCAACAAGGACAGAAGACAGGGCATTACAGGTGTTGAACCGGAGGCAACGACTTGAAAACACCATCATCTTGTGTTATTAACGTAACAGCTGCTTTAATGTGAACGAGTGACAACAGTTACTGCTGTTACTGCATTTGTCCAAACCTGTAAATACCACCTATACGTTACGTCACGTGGTATTTAAGCTAATGACGTTGGGAAAAATATACTGTAACGTTATATAACATTAACAGTTAGTTATGCTTAAAGTCATATCGTTAATGGTTTGGAGTATAGATACACTATATAGATCTATGATCGTCTGTTAGCTGTTAGCTAGCCTTATTTTTAACTAGTAATATCTGGCTAACATGCTGACTTCTAGGGTATCTGAAATCACGTTAGTAAATGGTCTTTAACGATAAGTGAAATACTGTAACAGTAGTTAACATTAGCATTAACTATAGTTAACATTAGCATTAACTAGCGTCAGTGACGTGGCAAGCTTCTGATAAACTAACATTACCACCCTTATGCTACATTAACTCTTACTGTACTTACCCATACGTATCTGGATGCTGGCTGTAGCAACATTTGTGCCATAGTTAAAGTCGTCTTCAATAGAAGACCTGGGGTATTTTTCACTAATCATCTTGTTATTGTAGCGTTACTGCAGATTCGTGAAAATACGTAAGGAATGCTGTTTCAGAGCCTACGCCACTGATGTACTGTGGCCTGCGCTCGAGAATGTGTTAATGCTGCGTTCACTGAACGTGGGAGGTTAGAAATTTTTCTGAGCTCAAGCTTCCGCAAGTCACCGCGTCAAATGTAAACAATACTGTAAACGATCAACGAGGCCGACCGCGAGAAACTTAACCCTTATCATGAATGTCAGGGGTTCTTCTTTGAAGAATTAAAACACATGTTTAACAAAGATTAAAAAGGGCACATTTCAATCTTCAAACCAGACAAAGTAGGTTCAGTATCACTTTGAAAATGTCATATCTGTTGCTCAAGAACAACAAGGTGTCATCGGTACCGCCTGCTCTCACACAGGCTTAATGCTTTCTCAGTGGGCTTCATTGAATAGATTCAGTGGACGGTGCTGGGTGTAATAAAACATTCAAACCACAGAAAGGCTATTTTTAGACACAATCAATTCACTCTGACAATCTTTGTCAGTGCATGATTTAATAGTTTATTACAAAAAGTATTAAAGTAGGCAGGCCTGTTTACTGGTGAATTTAGAGAGCTTCACAGCAGCTAAAGTTATTAAAATAAGCTAAATAGTTATAGCAATTAAGATTAATGAGGCATGCTTGATTTTCATGTTTTCTGAACCAAAACAGGCTTTTCATGAAATAAAGTGAAATCAACAATACATTTGCTGTCTTGATTGATACCTCACAGAAACAAAACTGTTTCAAATCCAGTGCAGAAAGAACACCACCCATGAATATTTTACAAGATAAAATGAAACTACCTCCCAGTGAAATAAACATGTGTGCTTTCAATAAAGATATGGAAAAAAAAAACAGGCTCAACAGGTCTGCAGAATAACCGCATGACTCAGGGACACATGACAACAGAGACACCAATAAGGAACTAATGGAAATGTGATGGGAGGTTCCAAACACAATAAATCTGAGCATTAAATGGTACTTTCCATGCCAGTAAAGAATATATATAGAATTCTGAATTCATATTGTAAACAAAAAGCAAATAGTTTTATGTGTCATGTAATCTCTGTGTCTCTCCAGCAAATAAACATTTGTAAGTTATCACTGATCTTCTCACTGTAGATGATGACATGTCAGCATGAATTCGCAGGTTTTGGTTTTGGTTTGCTTTAATTCCTATCCACCCTTTTTCTTTCTCTATTTGTTCTTTCTGTCTCTCTCTCTGTGTGTGTGTGCGTACTGGTAGTGGAATCCAACAAAAGTGTAAATGAACATATGGATGGACCACAGAATGGACCTACATAACACAGGCCCAGGGGCTAAAGGAGTCAGGGAGCCCCTAGACCAGAGAGCCATGAAGGGACTGTCAACATTTCCATTATAAAGACAATCAAATGATTACAAAATGATTTCAAAAAGCCACAGAATGAGAAAAAACAGATGCAAAACAATTACAAAGGGACATATTCTTAAATGACTAAAAAGAGCCAGAAAAGACCCAAAGACAGCAAACTGGCTACACAAATATGCCAAACTACAAAAAAGACAAAAAACAACTACAAAGAGATACAAAACAATTTAAGGATAATAATAATCACCTTTATTTGGCCAAGTATGTTACAGAAGGAATTTATTTCCAGTACAGAACCAAAGCAACCATCTGTGGTGCCAACACCGATGGCTCCAACCATCAGGGACAACTTGGGGATTCAGTGTCTTGCCCAAGGACACTTCGACATGTGGACTGTAGGCACCGAGATTCGAACCTCCAACCGGGAGACGACTGCTCTACCCACTGAACCACAGTTGCCCCAAAGAACAGACACAAAACAAGTACAAATAGATATAAAATGACTACAAAGAGATGCAAAACGAGCAAAAATCATTTGACTCCGGTTAGAATAATATTATAAAAAGACAGTTTTGTGACAATGTAAGCCTACATATAGTTCATTGGCTATTATTTCATTTTTGAATTTTAGAGCACATATAATCAAAAGGGGCAGTGAAAACAGTCATATGGACATACAAAACAGACAACAATAAACATACAAAAATAGGAAATATATAAACACTGTGTGGAGACATTTGACCAGATGAGGAACACTGGGGTCACGCAGAGAAGGTGAGGTGACAGCTTTACCTATATCCTTCCAGTTATTTGAATATTGGCTCGCTTTTAGCTTGATATGCAAAGAAAACTCAATGAAAAACGCCTTTGGTAGATGTGGGGCTTCAGGTAGTTTCCAAAAAACCTCCCTTTCCATAATAAACCAAACCTGTTTGGTCATATTCTACCTAGTAACAGTATTATGGAACTTAATGATTGGTTGGTTTTTATGTAGTGGGTGGTGTTAGAGCACTGTTATTGCGCCCCTCTGTATACTTTCAGTTTAGAGTAACGCTGCGAAGGACGAGAATACACCCTCCTGCACTGAGCCTCTGTAAAAATACAAAAGAAGAGTTAATCAACAAGATAAACATGAGGTTTGTCTTTGCTCTAGGAGTTCTGCTGGCTGTCTACTGTGTAGTGGACTCCAAACGCAGTAAGTACTCTTTTTTTTGTTGCAATTTTACTGAAGAAACTCTTCAGTATCTCAAGTAAAATGATTTTGTCCTTGATGGCTACAAGTCAACTACATCATATATTATTTAGGCTGCTTGATAACTGACATACTAAATACAAGGCAAGCAAGAAGGTGTAGCCTAGGCAATATCTGTAATGTAGCTCTTAATGATATGGTAGAAAGGCTCAGATGCTAATATAAGAGCTGATTTAAACGTCAAAATGTAAAAGAGAAACATTATAAAAACACATTTGCCCTGCTTTGAATTCAATGGGAATCCCCTCAACAGTCGGGATTTAGTTTCGATTTCCTGTAAATGCTATCTCTGCTGTGAATGCACACCGGCCTCAGTGTGAGTGTGTTTAAGGAATCCTGGATGGAGCAGGCCAAACTCCACACAGTGAATTTCTAAATTCTATGTGAAACATGTTTTGTGAGTTCGCTTATTTCCTCAGCCAGTCTCCAGAACAGCTAACGCACTCCCACACAGGGAGCCCCATGACTACTGTGGAGGCATCATTAACTCAAATCTGCACCTATGGCAATTAATGTGCCACTTTCTTTTTGTGTCCATACAGGTTACAGATGCAGATAGTTTCAGTTTTAATGTGGCCCAGTCAGTCACTTGTTAAAATGGATGTTTCCTACTCCACACTTAGTTTGAGTCCCGTGTGTGTTTTTCATATTTTCTCCAGTAAGATGCATCAGGTGGAACAGCACACTGTGTGGTTAAGGTAGAATGACATCATTTCCCTCTCCATATTTCCTTTAGTTCCACCTAAGATTCAGGTGTACAGCCGTGATCCAGGAGAGTATGGGGTTTCAAACACCGTAATCTGCCATGTGAGCAATGCCTACCCTCCTGACATCAAAATCGAGATTTTCAATAATGGCGAAGAGATCCCAAATGCCAAGCAGACCGACCTGGCCTTCACACAGGGCTGGAACTTCTTTTTGACCAAGAGCGCAACCTTTACTCCCCAGAAAGATGACAAGACTGTCTGCAGGGTGACTCACGGGGACAAAATTAGTAACTTTGCCTGGGGTGAGTTACAATCAGTGAAAAGCAAGGAGTAGGCAGAAAAAATAAATTGAATACTGCCTCATCAGCTTTTATGAGATGGATAAAAACTTCTCTATGCTTTTTTTTTACAGAGCCAAACATGTAACTGTGAGCAGAGGGTGAGTTCACATCCTTATTTGACTTCTTCAGTGATGCTACTCCACCATTCCAAACCGAGAATGTCACGTTTGACTGCCACAACAGATGCTGATGTATTTTCTGCTTTACAGTGACACGATGTCATTTTTTATCATTTTCTCTTTCCAGTGGTGCCAAATGTTTGGCTGCAGCCGTCTTCATTCTTCACGTCTTCAATCATCATTACCTTTCCTACCAAGTTTCTCACGTTTTTTCAAAAAAAAAAAACATCCATATCAATTTTAGGGGATTGTAAATGTTCACTTACTCTTTTGCAGTTTTTCTTAGTTGCTTTGGTACATTTCTCAAAATTTCCTTGATATTTGCAAAAACATAAGAGCATCTCTTGAAACAGTTTGTACAAACACCACAATCAGCACCACACAATGGATTACCTGCAGAAGGGTGTCACTAAGTATTCTCTAATGTCAACTATGGCTCAGGTTTTGATGACAGTGATTGAAAATGCACAGGGATGCACACTTTTACTGTTCATTGCAATATAAAAAAAGTGATTTACAGGACTGCACAGCACAAAGGAAAAAACACAGAAAAAAGAATGGTTGTTCTCACAACATTTGGCAGATGTAAGGATTGTGTAGAGGTTGAACAAATAGATTGGATAATTTAATTTCGGATCTGAAAAATGTACTACAGCAACCAAAAAAAAAAAAAAACTGTAATATAATATAACGCATGGGCTGCAGGTTAAGTCATTTATAATTTAGCTGTATGCTGCTTTGTTTTTGTTTTGTTTAATCTGTCATATTTCTTTCTATACACAAATGTTTGTATAGCTTTTATGACTTTAGTTACCTTTTTCTGTATACCTAAATTACACAAATTGGTAATTTGTAAGATTAACATTAACATAAAGTTTTTTTTCTGGACTGTTCTACGATTATGATTGGTTATTTAAGGTGTTTGTTTTAAATCTGAAATAAATACCGTAAAAATGTACTGATTGATTGGTGTCTCATTTTTAAACATAAACCTCTATAAATTATAGTTTTATTAGTTTGTAAGTAATTTACTGTTATCTTTATGGTTTTATTAAATAAAAAAAAATGCAAATATTTCAGGTAGACAAAGAAGTTAATGAATGCAATTTCCAGCCATTGAATCAGACACCTAGATTTTGCCATTGTGGTTTAGGCTGATTCCTGGCTTGACATTAATTTTACAGAAATGCATTAAAGGTGATGTGAAAACTATTAACACACACATATAGTCTGTTCCTCTTTCACCCTGACATCAGATCAGCAACTTACCTGAAGGTGGAATTTGTGAAGTCATGATAGTAAAACAGTTTCAGTGGTTGCTCTTCGCCCTCCCCACTACTTTACTGTAATTTTTTAATTTTTAAAATCTTGATTAATAAGACCATGTAAGGGAAAGTAAACGCTCCGTGGATATCAGTTGATCTAGCAATAGCCTGCCAACATGAGCTGTTATGAGCTATTCCTTTCTTTTGTGAGGGAAATTGCTTTCTGTGACATAAAAATGTTAATCGCATCAGCTGATTTATCACGGTGTGGCTGTAAACAAGCAACAGTAGAAACTTTAAAATACAGATGACAATGTTACAGCCAGTTACTAGTACAATGTCGGACAATATTTTCACTACGTGGTCCGTGATTCAGCAGCATCTGTTGTGAGAGCGCTGCCATCTTTCTATCTATGTAAAAAAATATATATATATGTGTGTGTGTGTGTGTGTGAGGAATAATAGATAGAACAAATAAACCCCAAATTTTATTAACTGGTTTGTTACATCTCGGTTGCTGCTCAAACCAACATAGCTTCAATTTAATGAAACTGCGCAACAAACTGCAACATGTCAGAGCGTATTCTACCTAGCAACAATTTCGCTTGATTTTTCTATTGGTAGAATTAGTGGCGACCTGGAAGCAATTTTGTATTTCTACCGAGGTACGCTGAAACTTTATTCGGTGGGCGGAGTTAACAGCCAAATTGTTGTAATAAACATCGCCCGAACATATGAGGAAGTACTCCTTTACTTTCGTTTTAGGTTGTGTCCATATTTAACGTCGTTCTTATTCGAACAAAATATACAAAAAGTCTTCCAGTATACAGAGGGTGTCGGAAGGTGAAATCATGAAAGCAGTTGTCCGCCTAGTTCTCCTGACTCTACTGATCCTCGGGTCCTCAATGGCCCGTGAATGTAAGTACCATATACTGCACTTGTAACAATATATTTACAAATGGCGCTGTGTTATGTTAACTCGGGCAGTACGGGGACTAATCTTGAAATAGATTTACCTTTCAGTTTACGCCAACGTCCACGTAAAACATTAAGAAGTATCCTACGGAACAGTTCCCTTAAGACTACGAGAAGTTCGGCGTATCAGAATAGTAAACACATGTTGAGAGTAACATAATGTCTTTATAGGCGCTGTCAATACGTTTTGAGACCGCTGGCAAAACAAAAAGCCTAGCCTATCTAACCAGGTTATTTAGTCAGTTTTATTAGCTTATTGTAATCAAACTGGCCTATAATACCTTTGCAGAGAATTGTAATTTAAAATAATACCGAGTGTCTAGTATTTATGTATAAGTGAGTGAAATGTTCATTAGTACAACTCTGTCCTGTTTTTATCAAATCATTTCTGTGTATGAGTGACAGCTTTTGTGTTTGTTGGTAGTAGCCCCAAAGGTTCAGGTATACAGCCGGAAACCAGGGGATTTCGGGAAACCCAACGTCTTGATCTGTCATACCACTGGCTTCCATCCACCTGTAATCAGCATCGAGCTGCTCAAGAACGGACAGGTGATTCCCGGAGTCAGGCAGACAGACCTGGCCTTCGAGGAGAACTGGCACTACCACCTGACCAGTTTCGTGGATTTCATCCCAAAAAATGGAGATGAGTACACTTGCAAAGTGACTCACAATGGAAAGCCCAAAACATACATCTGGGGTATGTGTCTGTCTTTCTGCTTGCTGTTGTATTTTTTAGTGACATGCCCACTGTTAAATGAGATTGTACTAGGTTTACAATGCAAGTATATTTAATACAAGTAACACATTAAGACAGTTATTAGTTTACACATTACTATTTACACTTAATAGATAGATATATATCAATATACTGTAACACATATATCATTTAGGACAATTATTCATCTTTCAAAAGCAAAAATGAAAATTAGAAAGTGAGCTACAGAAATAACAGAGAAAATCCACAAGGTGGCATCCTTATCATCCATCCATTATCTATACCGCTTCGTCCCGAACGGGGTCGTGGGGGGCGGGTTCTGGAGCCAATCCCAGCCATCATCGGGTGAGAGGCGGGGTACACCCTGGACAGGACGCCAGTCTATCACAGGGCTGACATGCAGACAAACAACCACACATACACTCTCACTCACACACTCCTATGGCCAATTTGGAGACACCAATCAACCTTGATCTTTAGTATTACCTCCTGAGGAGTGCTGAAACAAACACAGAACTCTTGATGAGCGTTATTTGGCTTGACACATTTCAGTAGGTTCCTATAATGGAAAACAAAACCCTATTCTGTGTTGCCAGCCTGTAACTAACCCAGTTTTAAGACTCCCGATTCAGTAAAAAAAAAAAAAAAAAAAAAAAGAAAGAAAACATAACTTCAGATGTCACAAGTATAGCATTTTGTCTCAGACACAAATTAGTTCAGTGGTGGTGGGAAAAGGCCATTTAAATGTTGAACTTGGTCACTTGAATTTAATACACACTTACAAGTTCAAAGTGTTTATCAAAGTGTTTATTTGTCATATGCACAATTAGGAAACGTGTTTACCTGTACAATGACATTCTTACTTTGCCGTCCACATGAATGCCACAAAATACAAATGAAATTTAAAGTAGTGTACTTACACTACACTTACACACTTACAGTGTAAACTGTTGAAGATGTGAGGTACAAGAAAGAGCAGGTTCTCAACATTTGTTAATATCTATTTACAGAACCAGATGTGTAAATCCTGTGCTCAGACTTGCTCAAGGTATGTACCAATGCCAATGCAATTTTTCAGTTCAACAACATTTTCAATATTTTTGCAGTAACGTTTTGCAGTAATTAATAATTGCAGTAAGTAAATTTTGTAGTAACTGTTTTGGTGACAGCACACTTTTTATCCTTTGTTTCATAATCACAGGTCTTCTCAGTCTCAAGATCATTAAGAAGATGGGATGGCAATAGAACTTAATTAAGTGATTGATGTGAAAAGGAAGGGCCACCAAAAACTGGCAGCAGCAAGACTTACTAGATTTCTGGCTCATTATGAAAATATTGTTTTTAATTAATGACGAGACAATTTTAACACCAGATCAGCAGTTAAGTAAGACTGAGCTACATGTGTATGTCAGGCAGAACTGGCGCTATGTATGTAAAAGTAGTGTAAAACTCAAGGAGATCACATTCCAGTCCACATGTGTGTGTGTATATCTATTAGTGTGCAACCAGCCAGAAACAGATCCTGTTAAAAATTAAGGTCACTAATTAAAGGTTAATGATTAATCAGACGGGAATGTGGATGTAGAATATGTATCCATGTAGTAATACTGCTTGCAAACCAATGATGATAAGATGATGTTAGGGGGTAGGGTTAGATAAGTCTAACTTCTTCCTACTCTGTTCAAGGTATAAGTAAATTGAAAATATTTTTGTGGACATGTCTGGAATTATGTGTGATTACATACTGACTGTTGTTACATGTTTGAAAGAATAAATAAATCAAATCAAATCAAATCAAATCAAAGGTTGACATTAAATACAAAATTATGTAAATATATGAGTTCTGAAAAATATTTTCCACTAGCAAAATATTAAATGTCGTTTTAGTCACCTTAGCCACTGCTGCCTGACACAATGGCTCATGGCTCACCATCACATCCTGGACAGCAAGTCATAGCGCAGACAGGCCTAACCTTATCATTATGGGTAGTCGTCGTGTGATTCATTGCTCTTATGAAAATATTGCAGTGTGATTCATTGCTCTTATGAAAATATTGCATCATGGAACTTTTAAGACAACAATTTTGGTGATGATTGGAAATGAAACTGCATTCTTTTGTGTGTTTGGTGCCTAATGTATAAAGGCTACAAGACCTTATTGTTTATGCACATTTTATATGATCAAATATTGAGGGAATATTAAATATTTTCATTTGGCCTTTTATTATTATAAAGAATGGCTCCATACCTGAGGGTTTGCTTATGTTGTTTCTAAAGTAGGCAAGTTGGTCTCTCTTTGAAATACTGTAGCAAATAAGGTCAGAGTGACTTTGTAAATGTATTTGTACACCATGGTCGCCCAATGAATGTGATTATGACTCTTCAAATTAAACAAATTTGGAAATAAATGTGAAAATGTGTTTGTTTGTCTGAAAACAAAGCTCCTGAAGTGTCCACGGTTCAGTTCATCGTGTTTTAAATAGTAATACATTTCACCACAGAGTTGGAGAACCTTGTTGGAAACAAAAGGGCTTGTACAGTGGAATGATCTTAGCTGTAGTTTTACAGTGCTTTAAAACACTTGTCAGTTTCATAAATATTCCAAGTCACATCTATTCATTTTTAGTAATTGTGAATATAATGCATACTGTGCACTGAAATATGATTGAATCAACAGTGAAATATTGTCAGGTAGGAGTACTGAGTAAACCCACCATCTAAAATGATGCATAAGATTGAACTTTAGTTGAATTTAATATTGTGACGACCGCTGGCTCGTTGAGAGGAGCTGGCCTGACCCTGTCCTATACTGGACAGTTAACTAGCCAGCAGTGTGCCGGCATCTGGCTCAACAAGGAGGAGAACATCTGGTTTGTCTTTTGTGGTTTTATTGAACGCAGTATGGAGACAAATGAAAACGCTGTCCGAACTGGCACCATGTGCTCTCTCAAGGAAATAATAAAAGAATAAACAACACATCTCCCAGAACTTCACCATCGCCCACCAACAGAACCAAACCAACACGCCCACCTGTCATCCCTCTTATCTCCTCCCCACCTGTTCCTCCCCCCATCCCACATTGGCCAGAACAGGCGGCATTTCGCAGAAAACAGCGGTAACACACACAGTAAGTGGTGACCAATACATGAACAGCCTTCAATAACAATGTCAAACCCATTTGCACACAACAGAACACACGAACATCAGCGGCCAGTCAGGGTCAGTCAGGGTCAGTCAGGGGCAGTCAGGGTCGTCACACTATGTTGAAACTCTTTCCATATGTAACTGTAGAAGGAAACAGACATTTTCATGACTTTTTAATACATTTTGTTCTCTTCACGTAACTACAGTAAACATAATTAAATACACAAGCTAACTAAGTCCAAATATACAATGACAAAGTGTGTGTAAAGGCAAACTTGAAGAAATGTGAGCTCATCCTTTAAGACGAGTGACATCAATAATGATTCATAATGTTTTTAGTGTTTCGATTCTCCTCGCAGAATTTCATGTTGATTGTTACAACACCAAGATTGAAGAAGCGCCGTTTCCACAAACGAGCTCAAGCTTGATGTAATGACGATGCTGTGAGTCTGTTGACTCAACGTGTCGTTACGTTTCGCTGCGTGAGGGAGTTTCCATGTTTGAGCAACACTGATCTCTACTGTTGTTCTTGTGTGGACCGGTGTCCTCCTGTTAAAGCGTCTGTTCAGATGGACTCCTCCAGTTTTCTTTACGATGTCCCTCCGGTTACCGTGGAAAGACTGTGTAAGATCATGGACAGCGGAGACGACAGCCTCGGGTGGCGGGGACTAGGTGAGGAGCAGCTCAGTTAGCGATGCCACAGAAAACGGTGCGCGGACTTTACGCTGCTGAAAGTTGGAGCTCTGTTGATTCGTGTGCTGTACAGAAGCTGCGTGTTAATAACAGGAAGCAGCTTCTCTTTGTCTAATGCTTGTTACAAAGGTGTGAATTTTTTAATGAATGGGAGATGTTTATTTGATAAGTTAAGGCTAAATAAAGAAATGGTAACATATTAGTTCAGAGATCAAGTAGCCTCGTTAGATGAAATTACTGGTGTTATCTGTAAAAGTGGGGGGAAAACCCCCTTAGGGGTTCATATAGAGGGTATATTGTCTAAAAGAATGGTTCAGATTAACCTACACACGTGGGTTTTATTGATTTACTACCCAGGAGGACACTGAACATGCGAAGTGTATATTTACAAACTAGGAGCAGATAAACAGAGAAGTAGGGCTTTAATGCCTTAAGGCCTGGGGCAACAAACACAGAGACCTCTTGGATGAGTTAATAACATTTGATATGCGTTTTGTATCTGTTTTCTACTAAATAACGAAGTGTAAATGCATAGAGTATGAAATAAGGTCAGAAAACACTGAGAAGGTTTTTCTCCATGCACTTCCATTTTCCTCTTTATGCATCATGAAGTATTACATTTGGTTGCTTTTCTATATTGCATATTGTTATAAAATGATGATTTTCTTTGGTGGCATTTGTACAACCTGAGCAAGTACTGTATGTCGAGCTGCTCTAAAGGGAATGTTTGTTTTTAGAGTAGGTTATAATTGGAAAATTGTGTTACTTATTATTGTGGGGACCTGAAAATTTATGACAGCATGTAATATGTGGCTAAAGGACAGAATAGATGTTATTGATTTATCATCTTTTTATGTCTACCATCTTTCCTGGCCTCTCTAAGCTGTCCGAATCGCTCCCAGCTGGTTAGAGGTTCGCAAGTTGGAGCGCACAGAGGCGGCAGGTCGGAGTCCCACCAGGGAGCTGCTGTGGTCCTGGGCCCAGCAGAATTCTAGAGTGCACGACCTGTGTAAGGTGCTGGAGGACATGGGCCACCACAGGGCCCTGCAGCTCTTCCATAGTCCACCCCAAGGTCAGTTATAAACACAAAGGCAAGTGTAAACTCCAACAAGCATGATGACTATATCATTTACTTATTTAAATGCATAGAACATTACAATATTCTCAGACTGAGCAGAGGGTGTTTAGATAACTGCATGTCTGCAGGTATTCTTCATCAGTGTGCTAAAGGAATAACCATTACAACACTACAAATTACAGCTAGGCTACCTGTTAATGAACCATACCATTCATTCCAAGGCTGAGAGAGTGGCATCTGGAGAGAGTGAGTAGGCACTAATCTTCTGAATCATTTATCAGCGGGGGGTGCTGGAGCCAATCCCAGCTGACATTGGGCAAGAGGCGGGGGACACCCTGGACAGGCAGCAGTCCAACACGCTGACATGTAGACAAACAACTACATACACTCACTAATAGGGGCAATTTAGGGTCACCACTTAACCTAAGCTGCATGTTTTTGGACTGTGGGAGGAAGCTGGAGTACCCGGAGAGAACCCACACAGGCACAGGGAGAAGATGGAAACCACACAGAAAGGCCCTGGGTTGAATTTGGAACCTTCTTGCTGTGAGGTGACAGCATTAACCACCATGCCGCTTGTCAGTATTAATAAATGAAAAATGAATAACAATGACAAGTTCAATTCAGTTCAGTTTAATTTTATTTGTATAGCGCCAAATCACAACAAAAGTCATCTCAAGACACTTTACAAAGTAAGGTCTAGACCTTACTATTATTCTAATTATTATAGAGGAAGAGTCCAACAAATCCCCCCTTCAGCAAACACTTGGCAACAGTGGGGAGGAGAAACTTCCTTTAACGGAAGAAACCTCTGACAGACTCCGGCTCTTGGTGGGCGGCCTTCTGCCTTGACCAACTAGGTGAGTGGATAGAGGAGAGACAAAAGAAAAGCAACAAGACAAAACCAACACAGCTCCAAAGTAGGGCTACCTGCAGAAAGGTCCAGGGAGAGAGAGGACACACTACGGGAGAGAGGAGACACATAGTTAGTGACATGTAATGGTGGCATACGAATGCACGGAGAGAGAGGAGAGGAGCTCAGCATCATGTGACATCCCTCAGCCTATGCCTATAACTAAGGGATGATACACCAAACCAAACTTATCCTAGAATGCATGTCCAGTAATTCCATAGAGTGATAGTCCACTACATGGGCCCAGATGAAGACCATCCTGTCGACTAGAAACCACTAGTATAGTTAAATATACTCAGTACCATCAGAACAGCCCAGGCCCCCCGTTTGCTTGCATTTACCAAGATGATTGTCAGTCTTATCCCTGTTCAGCCACATTAGTTATTATGATGCCATGAAATATTGAAAGACATACCACAGTATACGATGTACCTTTTCACCCTCCCTCACTGTCTTACTAAAATTATATTGAAATGCATGCAGAATGATATTTGCATTTATTTCTCTGACTGCTTTGTTGTGGAGGATTTGGCTTCAACAGGGGTGAACCACCAGTGTCCCCTGGGAAAAAACATAAAGAGCACAGCCAAAGTGAGCTAAAGAAAGCACTTGTGCCCCATTTTTATACAAAATAAAATTATTTTTTCTTATTAATGTTTAGTTTTGTGGAACTACTCTTGGTAGGTAAAGTAAAATTTAATGTGGAAAAGGTGTCAAATTAAGGTGCTCTGTATCAGTCAGTCAGAAATCTATCTAAAAATATAACTCCCACTAACATCCAGGTTTGTGTTGTGATTCATTTATTATATTTTTTGTGTGTGTGTGGCACAAAATGAGTAGCAAAATGAGTAGCAATTCAGTTTTGCAAGAAAAAGTGTGGGGGTAAGTGAAATTCACACGTGACACAGAAGAAATTTAAAGCCCTGTCTTGGTTCCTCTTTGTGGTGCATGGATGATGTAAGCAAACCTTGTTAATCTAACTACTGAATGAATAGAAGTGATTGAATATTTAGGCAATCTTTCTATTTCAGAGTCGTCTTTGCCCTCCAGCAATCACCATGCAGAGTCTGCAGGGCAGGTCTCAGCAGCTAAAGAGAAGGTAAAATAGTTTGTTCCACCACAGAATGTGATTTAGTCTTAGACAGAAGGCAGCTTGCATGACCTGTGAGTAGTTAGAAAAATAAATGACCATCCTATCCTGTCTTCATTTTTTCTGATAAGGAATCCTTCAAACTAGAGGCAAGTTCTCCATTAAAGTCTGGTAAGTAAAGTGAACATTATAATGGAATGAATAAATAAATCATGTTACACATCAGTAAAATGTAATTTTGGTGGAATTCCCCTTTTCCACTATGGTTGATTGGTCTTGAAATTTGACTTACCACATGGGATTTTGTGTGTGTGGTAATGTGAGTTATCCATTTCTGTATTCCAGTGAGGTCTGTTGAAGAAAACCAGTCTTCCATCATCACGTTCCAAGACATCAAAGAAGGAACCAGGGATTTTCATCAAAAAATGAGAATTTCAGAAGGCCAGTTTTGTAATGTCTACAGAGCACAGCTGGGAAATAAAATGTTTGCAGTAAAGGTTTTTAAACAGGTGATTTTTTTTTATTGTAATGTCACTGAGAAAACATTGGTCATTGATAAAGACTGTAACAAGAACATCTTTAATTTTCATATCTTTAAAATTGATCATGTGTGCTGAAGTATTGTCTTTATGAATGCATATAAAAGCAGTTTATATTCTGTTTACTCATCTACCGTGAGGTTCTGGTCTGAGTTTATGTGTTGAATGCCACAATAATTGAAATGTATTCCTTGTCCATCATTCTCCAGACAAATAAGGCATCCTGGAGGAAGCTATGGGAAATGTTCAGAAAAGAAATGGAAATTCATCATTTGTATGTATTAGCCTTTCACTCTCAATATACCTTTTTTGTTTATCTGATAGTGTGTGTTCAGTCCTTAGTGTGGTGTTGTTACAGGTATCAGCATCCACATATAGTGGACTTGTTGGGCTGTTTTTCTGAAGAGGACCACTACTGCCTGGTCTACCCCTACTTCCCCAACGGATCACTATTCCACAGACTTCACCATCAGGTACATTTGTAATTTACCACAGCAGTTGTTCATTATAATGTATGCTTCTGTTTGCACTGTGCTTTCAGTATCAGAAAACAGGAAGTTAACTTGTGGTACTTTTGCGGAACTTAAATTCTTTATTATGAAAACATATCATTCAGACTTTAGAAACTAAAATCAGAAATACAGGTATTTGCTGTTTTTAAGCTTTTATTGTATGGAAATAGAAATTTTCTGTCATGGAACAGGTAATACTGATAGAGCACAAACCTCCCTGCCCCGTAAATTCACTCTCTGTTCCATATTTCTGTCGAGCTTTAAACATATTTTTAGTTCCCATGGAAATATTTTAGATCCTGTAAGTTAAAAAGTCAACATCTTCTTCTTAATAATCAAAAAACAGGATCACACTCAATGATAAGGAATTACTTTATTCTACTACAAAAGATGCAATGTCTCCAGCCTTGTCTGACACAATCGGGCAGTGTCGCTGCCTCTGAGGTGACACATTCAATTAGCTTACACCAGATGGGGCAGACATCAACAAGGCAAACAGTGAGTTGATAATACAGAATTAAATGTACCAAAGAATCGGTGAGCATTCCTGTAGAAGTATTCAAGTTAAATGCTGTTTACTCATCATTTTGGCCCAACAAATACAGTATCAGACCATGCCTTCATAAATCATCAGGGCCCCATAATAAGCCACACCACTCTCCAACTCTACCCTAACCTAAAATACACATATACAATAATTTCACAGACACTATTATGCGGGACACTGTTGTCCAACACTAACCTATCATACCATGCATTTATCAAAAATAAATTCTCCACTCTGAGCTTAACACAAATCATCCCTGAATTCTGTCCTCACCCAAAGAGCAAATATTTTGTGACTTGACACATATTATCCTCATTGTACTTGCTCTGGTCGTACAGTGGCTGGCCTCTGAGAGCAAGGCCCGCTCAGTTGTCCCACTGCCGTCACTGTTCTTCCACGATTGTTTGTTTGTTGATTGAAGAAAACTATACCAGTTGGGCTCATGACACCAAGAAGGCCCAACAGTGTGTTCCAACATCCCAGAACTGCCTCCCTCTGCGCCTGCACCCACACTCCCAACACACTCCATTAACCTCTATTCAGGCTGACTGGTAACAAACAAAAACTAAGCCACAGCAAACACTAGCAAACCCTAGCAAACATTTCAAATCCTGTCCTAGCCACCAAACATTTCAAATACAATACAGTGCAAGAAAAAAAGGGCTAAATCAGCTCATCACCACAGACTATAAATCCCACCTGGTGAACTTATTCTGTTCTTGTCATGTCAGGTCCTTATGTCATGTCTACTCAGTGGTCTGTGAAGGTGTTATAACTAAAATGGCATGTTGTCACTGTACAGGATGGAGAGCCCCCTCTGTCCTGGCAAGAACGTCTCGACATTATCAAAGGAATCGCAAAGGCCTTGCATCACCTCCATACGGCCCAGCCCTGCCCAGTCATCTGTGGCAACATCTCCAGGTACAGTACACCTCACATGCACACTGTGGGATGCATTCTGATACACATTGCTACGAAGCTGTATAAGACAAAAAATGTACTGCATTGTGTTTTCTGCTGTCTCTGAAGTTCAGAGGCTAACAGTGTTTGTATGGCTTCTCTGTACAGTGCTAACATACTCTTTGACGATGCTCTCCAGCCCAAGCTGTGTGATTTTGGGTTGGCTCGTCTGCGCCCTCATTCAGTCAGCCATTACTGTACCATCACTCTTGATACGAGTTCCCACAGCAACCTGGGATACCTCCCTGAGGAGTACATCCGAGATGGCAAACTGTCCTTCAGCCTGGATGTTTACAGCTTTGGAATGGTGACTGTAACAAGATCTTTTTAGCTTAGCAGAACTTTCTATAATCTTAGTATAAATTAGGGTGTTGCATCAACAAATGATATGATAAAATTGGATTATCATTATAGTTGCATTCATGTGAAGGCAGAACTTTAGCTCATGGAGCTCATTTTAACTGATATATTAGTACATTAATGTTGTAGTATTATTACATTAGTACATCATATTTTATACAGTGATTACATCTGTTGCATATAAAACAAATTTAGTGGAGTAAAAGTACAATTTTTCCTTCTGAAATGTGGTGAAGCAGGAAGTATAACATAGAAAACATTCGAAATAGTTAAAGTGCTGCGTCCTGTACATAGCTACAGTATTGCAGTGGATGCAGTAGTAACTTTACACCACTTCCTCCACTATAAAAATTTTGCAATTCTAAATATGGAATTATGAAATATGAGCTGTCTATTTGTATAAGTAAATGGTAGTGTAATGAAAGGACTAAAATATCAGAAATATTATTAGAATATATATTTTTTAATTGACATTAATTACAGTTTGCTTGCTCTCAGGTCGTAATGGAAACAGTAACAGGACGGAAGGTCATAGACGATGTACCTAAACAAACACTGCTGGTGAGCCAACACTGAAGTCCAAAAAGTTCCTTTTTTGTCAAAACGTAATGAAGCCCTTCTATGTATATATACACACATAATACATTATGATCTCTCACAAGAACAGTCAGAAAGGTTTAGATACAGAGGTACCAGAACAATTAGGACACTTTTACAGTCTGTTGTTTTCAGCCCCAAGACAAATCCTGCCTGTATAAAGCTGATCATTTCCAATATATGGTGAAATTTGACTCCAGCAAATGTTAGCAGTTTCAGTACAAGGTAATCTGTGATCACACTATCCAACCATTACAGTCATAAAGTTTCATGGTCTCTGTCACATCTTGATAGGAAAGGCTTACAGCCACTCATTTAATGATTTATTGCATGTTATTTAAAGTGTTAGTGCCTTGTCATGTACCGTACTTACTAACCACATTTGCTCATTGTGTTTTTCTGTGTGATGTCTCCTCTGTCAGAGAGATTTGCTCATCACTGAGGTGGAGGACAGCGGTGGTGTGGACTCCTGTCTGCAGTTTTTGGATGAGACGGCCGGTCGGTGGCCGACTGCCATGGCCCTCAGACTTCTGCGTCTGGCCTTGGACTGCACTGCTAGCCGCCACCGCAGCAGACCAAGCATGGAGAAGGTGAGCTTTAAAGGCTGATCCTCGTCCCTTAGGAACAGTATACTGTGTGTAAGAAAATATTAAAAATGCTAAGGTCCCCATCCCAGACTTTCCACTGCAATCAGCTTTTTCTATATTTTGTTTGAAGTACTTTTATGCAGTTGAGTGGAAGAGAATTGGAATCATTGCAGTTTTATACTGAATCTTTGGGGTAGCGTCATGTTATTGCATGAATGGCTGCAGTACTGATACTACACAGCATGAAAGCCATCTTGGCTAACCTTTGTTGCCTGTACATTTTGCTGACATATTCTGCTGGAGGAATCATTTAAGCGACTGCTATAAATCTTAACTGTCCTCAGGTACTTCTGTCACTGAGCGAGCTGCTTCCTCCACCTTGCCCCCCTGTCGACCAACCCCACAGCCTGGATGATGGAGCTGCTAGTTGTGCCCAGCAGAGCCCCCTGTTGTCCATACCTGTGGAGCACGATGAGCAGGATAGCCCCCCAGGGTTTCCAACAAGGGAAGGGCCGAGTGAATACAGCCAGTCTGAGGTGACATATCTGAGTGACATTGCGGGTGCTCATGGTGAGGCGGCAGTAAACCTCTACAGCAGTTGGCCTGTGCAGTGCAGCTGTGCGGCTGAAACAAGTGGTTTAGCCTGTGAGGACTGCAGGGCCAATGGCTTCACCAACAATAACATGGACTATCCTCAGAGTAAGTCTGATTAAGATATTTAGTTCTTTATTACAGAAACAGAATTTGAAAAACTTGTGAGACTCTGTGGGTAAAATGTACACAGATAGGTGAGTCAGCTCTACCTCCTCTTTCTGAGGAAATACCTGAAATGCTTAGCTGCAATTTTCATCTCAACACTGACCTGTGTCAGTACCACATAGACTATATATAAAGATGTGACAGCTCCCACAAGTCAGTCACCCCCTGGTGGCTGATTGCAGTGTAGGTCATACATTTCGCCCACTACAAGTTGGGACATGAGCCAAAATTAAAACTCAAAGTATAAATCAAATAAATTTCTTCTAGAGGTGAATTCGGTCATTTCAGGTAGATATTATGACGCTGATCTGTGTACAAGTGGTCATTTTTCTGGTAAGTTTTTAATAAGTTATTTGATGGTATAGAAAGGAGTGTATTTTAGATGGTTTGACACTTTGATTGGCAGCTGTATGTCACTCCACTTCTCTTCACTACTGCACAGAATCTAGCTGCAAAATGCGTCACAAACGCAGGATGGCCACCGCCATAGTGCCGATATTTTGGCTTCGCTTTTACATAATGGCAGAAAGTGGTGACATTTCATCCATTTTTCTATACATGGCCAGGACCTTCAACCACTTACTCTAGGAGACTGTCAACAAATATTTCAACCATGTTTGATAATGATTTTGGGGTATATTGATCATTTCACTACAAGGAGGTGACACTGATCTATAATAACCCCACTCTCCTGTCCCTCCAGAGCCAACTCAGATACTTGATTGTTAATGCAGTGCCTGGCTTATTTTTATGATAAAATACATATTAGAATCACTTTGACTTTGAAGGTTAAACTTGATGTGGGATCAATTTAGCCATGTTGCTAAGGGGAACATAAAATATCCTCAAAAGAAAAAAACAGTGAATGCAGTTGTTTGTGTGTATTTATGACATGGAATATACTGTATGTTATGTGCATGTATTGGCCTAAACAAATGAACCTGTTCCTGTGTTGTGTGTGTTTCAGCAGACGTCACTGTAGTGGAAAACCCAGCCAAGGAGAGACTGAGGAACAAACTGAGTCTTTATAACAAAGAGCAGATTCACACAGAGGAACTGTTCTCTGATGCGGGGCTACCGTAGAGAACACAGTACCTGTTACTGTCCTGACAGCAGGTCATTTTTGCAAGCTTCTGTGTGTGTATGATGTCTGTTTGTTACTGTAGGATCCCTGTTAGCTACTGTATCACAGCAGATTCCTCCTGGGGTCCATCACATCACACTATAACACCCGACAGAGCATATGAGCCGAGTGGAGCGGTGACAGTTCAAATCTGCTCGCTCTCGTTCACGCTCCACTCTGATTACATGCTCTGACACCTGAAAATGTTCTCATTCACATAGTAATTATTAAAACATGCAAATAACATGGCTTTAGTACAAATACTTGAGGATTACCATAGATAAGCTACCATAGAATAGAAATAGTGTTTAAATAGTACAGTACTGTAGAAGTAATTGTAGCATGGTAATCAGTTAAGCCCTAATACATTGTTATTATTATTATTATTGCTATTATTACCATTGTAGGACTGTTATTCTCATCAACTGTATATAAAAGATGGATAAACCCTCCATAACGTCACCCACTGGTTTTCTGCAGAGCGGTTTGGAACCTCAAGTCTGGCTGCTGTTGTCTCGGTAGCGCTTCACTCCACCCATCTCCAGCTAATCCAAAAATGGGCAAAGAGGTGGAGCGTGAGTGGAGCTTGCTAGACAGCTAGTGGCTAGCCACCAGTAGTGGGACCCACCCCCCGTTGCCACACCCTTAGTTATGCATAACTTTTAGTGTCAATATAATTGTCATGGACGGGGAAATTAGCTGTAGAGACCAATCCCATTTTTGTACTAGGCTGTAAACATGTTTATTTCTGCTGTAAATCTGGGTATTTAACATGGGAATCTAAGGGGATTGAGTCCTTTTTAGAGCCATCCTCAAGTGGGCATTCAAAGAACTGCAGGTTTTGGCACTTAAGCATTGGCTTCATTTCTCAGCCTTGGAGGTTGTCGCTTGGTTATTCTCTAATCATCATCACTACCTTGTAATTTATGACAAGTAGCAGGGGACTTTTTAATCTTTAGTGTTTTTGTGGATAAATGTTTAGGGAATTGGCATTGCATAAAGAAGAGATAGCAGAATTTATTGTGAATAAGCTGAATGAGCCTGGCATTTTGAACTAGGGTTAAACTGTTATATACTCCCAACTGAGAGCTCATATGATCAGTCTGAGTTGAGTCTAGTTAAAGAACGGCATCAACAATCAGATAAAACCATAACCATATACAAACCAAAAGAGAATGTTTGGCAAAATGTTCATTGCTGTGCACAAATCCCAGTGAACAAAATGCAAATATGAACCTCCTGAACTCAGTGTTCCAATGTTACACACTCTGGTAACATCACCCGACTGCTTATTGGAACGCCGTCCTCTGTTGTATTCAATCAGCTCAAAAGCATGCAAAACTGTGCTGGAAGGATCATTACACATATCAATTCCACCAACCATATCACACCTTCCATATACAACTATACTGGCTCCGTTCATCAACTGATTCATTATGAGATCCTACTGCTTACCTTCAAAGCCTTCCATCTTAACCCATGACTGTATAATAGAACAACAACCCTCAGTGCAATACCTTGCAAATATACCTTTGTATATATTGATCTGGAAAATGCATCTAAACTGTGTATATACATATACAGTATATTTCTCTGTATATGAGTACTTATTTTAATGTTCCTAATGCACATTCCTTTTTCTTTTTTACATATTCTTTTTTTTTTCTTTTTTGTTCTCTCAGCCTTAAATTGTTTACTTGTCTATTCGTTGTTTTACGGAAGGACATGTACAGAAGAGCCACTGTACCCAAGCCAAACTCCTCATGTGTCCAACACACCTGGCCAATAAAGCTGATTTTGATTCTGACAATAATCACTCTATTCATCTGAAAGATATTTTTCCCAGTTACGCTTAACCGGTGAAACTCAGAGAGACGAGGCGCTCCAAGTGGCTACAAAAAAAATGTGCTGGTTTATTCAAGGATCACAGGTAAAATTAACATTACACGTCCAGGTATCTTCCACCTTCAATACTGCGCACAGGCAGATGAAGAATGTAAGACCCCGAACCCAACAGGCCTGTACATTATATCTGGTTTGGGCTAATCCCATTCTACACAGGCACGTCAAACCGTGGCGTCACCTGATATGTCAGCTTTACAGCTGACCGTAGCAGTAGTCAAAACATGGAGAAAATCAATGTGTGTGAGTGTTGATTAAGTGGTGTGTATCTAAGAACATACAGGACATTCAGGGACATGTCCGGACATTAAGCCTAGGAAGATATTATGATTAAGATTACGGCTAAACATATCATAATAATAATAACAATAATCATCCTGCCTGCTGACAATCAAACTTTTCTATCTCGTTATCCTTGCCCACGTACACCCTGCTAAAATCTCATGACAATGACTAAGCGTTTAAACTAGACATCCTGTCTCCACTAAACATTTCTAATACAACAAGTATCTAACCAATTTCTATCTGACTAAAAAATACCTAACAACATGACTAAAAAATACCTAACACATCCAATTCTTCTTTGATTGTAACTTTGCTATTGTATATTGCTCTGTGCTTTTATTTTTTGTTGTTGTTTGCTCTGTAAAGTGTCTTGTGTTTTTTAATGAAAGGAGACAACAAAAGTAATTTATTATTATTATTAGTATCAGTAGTAGTATTACCATGTCATTCTTTTCATTGTAGATGCTAAAAATGAACATACATGTGTAAGACACAACATGACATTAACAAGTCATTAAATACAGTATAACCCCAGTCAGGCTGATTTGGTCAAAACTAAAGTTCATTATGATTTGTACCAGCAGGAGTGTCCCTGGCTGGGTGTTAGTAAGGAGCACAGGCAAACCTAGCTGAAGGAATCACTATGTGCATTTCATTATTATACAAAATAAACATGTTTATTCTTAATAATGTATGGTTTATTATTTCATAGAACTATGGGTACTACCCCCTGAGGGGTGCTGAGATTTAGCTCCCAGAATGCACCTCCAAAGCAGGGCAAGTGTAGTGGAAACAAACACACAACTTGTGATCAGTGTGACACATTTCTGTACGTTCCTATAATAAAAAAACCCCTTTTGCCACACTCCCACTCTTCCACCTCATCATGCACATCATCCATTTGATGTATGCTCATATATACAATATATCACATTTTACATACATAGCATCCTTTATGCTGAGTGCATATGATGTGTGGCTGTCACATATATGTGTTAGAAATTCACCTTCTTGTTAGAAATTAACCCAATTCTTTTGTTGGAAGCACGAGAAGTGAAGACAGGAGAGGACTGTTTAAAATCAACAGAAAGTTTACTGAAAGTCTGATTACAAGCAAGTCTTACAGCTGTAAGATATTACCCAGTTCTTCTAACCAGGAACTCACCACTTGGATATATAAAAAATAACCGTGCTGGTTTATTCAAAGGATCACAGGTAAAATTAACATTACACGTCCAGGCATCTTCCACCCCCAAACCTGCTCGCAGGCAGCATGGAGGATAAAAGACCCTGAACCCTCATGCCTATACAATTTTATCCCTTGGTTGGGCTAGCCCATGCTACACAGGAACGTCTAACCGTGACGTCACCTGATATACCAGCTTCACAGCTGGCCGTAGCAGTAGTCAAAACATGGAGAGAATCAATGTGTGTGTGAGTGTTGATCATGTGGTGTGTATCTAAAAACATACTGGACGTTCAGGGACATGTCCGGACATTAAGCCTCGGAAGATATTATGATTAAGATTACGGCTGAACATATCATGCTACTAGCAATATTCATCCTGCCTGCAGACTCTTCAATCTAGTTGACCTTGGCCTAGATGCAGCCTGCAGAACTCCTGACAATGAACTGAGCATTTAACAGCCTGAGCTAGACATCCTGGCTACACTAAACATTCCTATACAACAAGTATCTAATCAATATCTACCTGAGTAAAAGCTTATATAGTAACTAGAGTCTACAAGACTCAAATCTTACATATGCATGTGTACATGTACATGCAAAGGTGAGTGAGTGAGTATTAGTACTTCTTACAGTGTTCCACAGTTGTGAGGCTCTTACAAAATGGCATCAATGGCTGTAGGAGATGAGAGATCTAGTATCTGTTGTTTGACTTTTTTCTACATTGATGACTTTGTTAGTGTAAATAAAAAGAGCAGCACATTGCAACAGTCACAGTAAATATTTTCACTCTCAGTTTGTGCTTGTGCTATTAGCTTTCACTATCTACTTTCACCTGAAAAGACTGTGTACCTTCAATGAAACAAAAGGTTGTGTTCTAGCTCCACAGTCTTGTAAAAGACAGCACTGGGGATTTTTTTTCTTGTCAAAACAGACAGAGCCAAACCAAGTAGTACTGTTTGTGTATCAAAAGCCTGATTGCTTCCTCTGTGCGGGCGGTTATTAGCTTTGATATGATCGAGATGTGTCAAAATGATGTGTAATGAGTCATCTTGACAGTGAGAAAAAAAGGTGTGAAAAGGAGGTGTGAAGCGACAGGATGGAGACTCAAAGGTTTAGCTGCTATTTGTCTGTGCAGATTCTTAGTCCTCCACTTCATGGCATATCACCAAAGTGGTACAATTGACAAGTGGGCTTGCTTTGTTTGTTTGTTTTTAGTTTTTTTATTGCGCTGCATTGTTCCAAGGGATATAGTTATCTTATCGGTGGCTTTGTGTGTAAATTACTAGAAACACACAAAAAAAAAACAGGAACAATTTGATAAAACAACTTTACAACAAACAACCACAGCATAAACTAAAACATGTCTCCGTTAGATCAGAAGCCAGAGGAGCAGCCGGGAGGTAGTCACATGACTTTACAGTGACTCTGACATTGGCATGGATCACGTAATTACTCGCAAAGCACAGAAACCGAAACCATGGAGCAGTTTTTTTCATTTATTTTACCCCTGGCACTGTTCTGTTGTGTTTTCCTTGTATTGTATATGTATTTTGTGAAATAAGGTTTTAAAAACCACCACATCCGGCGGGGGGTGACCGCGCTCGTCAACCGCCGTTAAGCGCGAAGAAGTGACCGCGCTTTACGTCCATTGGTCACACTTCATCTGCGACGTTCACACTTCGACCAAACAGCGAGTGTTCGGGCACAGCTACACATTTCCATTGTTTCTGAACTCTCTTCCCAAGTATAAAATGTCAGGTAATCCAATGGAACTTAAGGGATACATTTTACCTGAGGAGAAAGAATCCAGAGTGGAAGATGAAGACGAGGAAGAGGAACAACAGCCAGAATTTCTCGATATGGAGGAAATAGACAATGTTGCTTCTGGAGGACGCCGCTTATTGCGTTCGTCATTGCGTCTGCAAGAAGGTCAGTATTGTTTGTTGTTCTCACGCTGAAAAGTTGTAATGTTAATAGTGCTGCTACAGAGCAGTGCTTCTCATTTTCTGTTAGACATGTCCGGTCAAGTCCCAGCAGTATTCAGCTGCAGCATGGTTTAAACAGAACAGTCACAGTTTTCTCTGTTCGCGCACATCTGTACAACTACAATGCCAACTTAGAATCAGCTTTATTGGCCAGAAATTTGACTCCTGGTGCAGTGGCTCTCAATGTGTAAGGCAACCAGTAAACAAGTGTTATGATTTAGTCCCCCTCACCAGGAGGGTGAGGGAGAACTGAGGCAGGACTCAAGATTGCTGACCCAGGTGCTAGTTAAAAAAAAGGTGGTTTTAATGGTGGGGAACACGAGAAAAGGAACGCATACAACCAGGGCTGAGCAAATACGGCTAGGGAGAACAGGACGACCAGGGGAGAAGACAGGCTAACGGCAAAAAACAAAAAAACAACAACAACAACAGGAGAGTGAGGATGAGGACGGACAGGAGGATTAGCGGTATAAATAAGGTAGGAGGGTGATTACAGTGATGCGCCCCAGCTGTGCGCGACAACCCACAAGTCACTAATTAGAAAATGCGACACAGCTGAGGCGCTGATCCTGCAAGAAGAGCGAGCAGGAGAGAGAAAGGCAGAAGAGAGGCAGGTCACACCGAGTGGACCTGACAATAAGACAGAGAGCAAGAAAAGAAAAAGATTGCCCAAACAAGAAAAAGGAATGAAACAAAAAAATAAGGTGCTTTTAAAATATATGTACATATACACAGTTTAGATGGAGTTTAAGATGCAGTATATACAAAGGTATATCTACAGGTTACTGGTTAGAAACCAGTTAAAACGGAAGTGTTTATTTCTGTACAGTCAAAACAAATGTGCTGACTTTTATTTTATTCAGGAAACTCTGCTTTATCATTCTGGAGGATTCAGTGGGGGAAGGATGTGTGGTTTTTATGTGGCGGTAATAGATCAGCAGGGAAGGGACGTTTAGGAGACATAAGATCTATGAAGGATATAGATGGAAGATGGGTAGTAGACATTGAGCACTTTAAATGTATTATTACTAATGTTTATGCTTCCAATAATAAGCAAAAAAAAATGACATTCTTAACAAATGAAAGCAAAATATAACAACTTGTTAACACTTCCTTCTGCCAAAATTATTTGGGGAGGCGACTTTAATACGGTGATGGATAGTTACCTAGATACACGGCCTCCTAGAAGTACACTAACATGTAGTGTATGTTACACAAGGCGTGTGGAAGGCTTGGATTGATTGACATCTGGAGACACAGACATCCACACAAATTAGATTATACTTGGGGCAAGGCTGATAAATCTAAACAATCTAAGATTGATTTTTGGTTGATTTCACAGGATATTGGAATTGATGTGGAATCAGTCCTGATTGAACCCTCAATTATTAACACATCATAAAGCTGTTACAATTAATGTTCATTTACAGGGATCATTTGTCAGAAATAAATACTGGAAATTAAATGTGTCTTTATTAAATAATGAGGTATTTTGAGCTGCAGTTGAAAAACATAATTGAACACTGGAAACAAACTAATTTCCTAGACAATTATAAGAAATACTGGGAATGAATGAAGTTAGGAAACTTGCAATGTCAAGGACATGAGGCCGATCAGTATGGTTGATGGGACAGGCTTCTTACAGGAATTGGAACCATGGTACCATAGTCGTACCAGTATGTATCATGTGTTAAAATAAATATACATTTACAAGTACCCGTATTTTCCGCACTATAAGGCGCACCTAAGAGCCTTAAATTTTCTCAAAAATCGGCCGTGCGCCTGATAATCCGGTGCACTTTATGTGTGCACTGAGTTCCAAAATCTGTAAAAATGTTGTTGTGCGACTTTGGTAAGCGCTCCGCTTGATTGAATGTCGGACCATTTCCCGCTGACACAGGGACGTAATACGTACACTACGTACGCTGGCAGCGATAAACCAGTCTAAACTGGTCTAAGGACCCCCGAAAATGGCACCAGTGAAGAGACATGCTTACGAGGCACAATTCAAACTACAGGCTATCAGTTACGCGGTTGTAAATGGGAATAGAGCAGCTGCGAAATAATTCAAATTCAATAAATCTATGGTTCGGAAGTGGATTTGTGGGAGAAGATTGATTAAAAAATAATGTGAGTGTATTGTTAAATAGTAGAATAAAGTTCAACTAAACTCACAGTTTTGCTTCCGTTACGTTTTAGCATGCGCCTTATAATACGGTGCGCCTTATGTATGGGTTAAGTACAGAAATAGACCCCGTAATTGAGACTGCGCCTTATAATCCGGTGCGCCTTATGGTGCAGAAAATACGGTAGTAATGTGCCTCTCGCCTGCAGCTGGCTGGGATTGGCTCCAGCCCCCCGTGACCCCGTTTGGGACTTAGCAGTTTAGAAAATTGATGGATGGATGAAAGTAGTAATGTCTCTCAGTGTGATAGTTTGTCCTCTTATAGACATAATGCACAAAAATAGATGTTCAGATGGTTTGAATATTCTACGTTTTTATTTTAGGACAAATAATCAAATGTCATTTTTGGCCAATTTTGTCAACACTAGCCATCGCTCTGATAAATAGTTAATCCATGACTGTATGACAGGACACAGCAATCACCCCAGTGCAATAAATTGTAAATATAAACATTGTATACAATGTATCATAAATGCTGCCTCTTTTTCTCTCATTTCCTTTTTTTGATTATACATATTTCCTATTTAAAGGCACACCCACTGCTATTATCTTTTTACTTTTTATTTTCATTACTATTTTCTACTTCCTCTTGCCTCAGAAACAGACTAAGCCTCTGTACCAGAGTCACCTTCCTAAGTTTAAACATATGTGGCCATTAAAGCTGTTTCTAATTCTGAAGTAACTTTACAAGAACAAGTGTTGAAGACCAGACTTGCAGGCAGGCAAGTAATGAACAGCATGAAGGGAAACGCCATGAGACATGCAATGTGTAGAACTACAGTATGTAGAAAATATCAGTATCTGACAGGTTCAACATAGCACTATAATGCCTGGAAAAGCTGTTTTAACCCAGTGTTTCTCAAACAGTTGACTTCAAGGATTTCTCTGAAAAAGTCTACCAAGTGCAGGGACACTTCGCGCTCAGGAGTCCGTGGTGGCAGGTGAAGTGTTCTGTACAAAACCGTGGGAACAGGCTGGTAATGAAGGGGTTTCCTTCCTACAAGCTACGCTCTGACCTGGACAGAGAAGGCTGGATTTCTATTGTGTCCCTGTTTCTAAGAGCCTGTGGCGTAGAACCGGAGGTCATTTCCCACTCGTTTTTCCACTCGTTGCCACCAAACATAGAAATCTCTCTTCACAACCTGATGGAGGTCATTGATGAATTTTCCAAAGCAGGGAATGAAGATACAGCAAGCATGATTACAACTAGAGTCTCACGTTCAGGTTTGTTAATACTAATTTATTTGTCTATGTAAGAACTGAGTCTGTTTAAAGTTTGGTTTACAAAGAGGAAAACTTTTTCATTTCCACTTAATATTAATTTTATTTGTCGAGGTTTCTACTGCAGTACAGCAAATTAAGTAGTTTCTGGTGTTCACAGTCGTGGAAAAAAACTAAGTATCATTATGTTATACACTAAAGAAAATGTTTTTAAAAAGTTTGTTACAACCTTTTTCACACATGCCTCAGTTGTGGCTTTCTTTAGTATTTGTCTGTTATGTTTCAGTTGATTGGATGCAAGTCCAGACATCCCTTCTGCATCCACATGTGATGAAATACCTGCCAACCCTACTGCCTGGCCAATTCATTGACCTGCTGGGAATCAGAAAGCAAAGGCCAACTCTGCCAGACACTCAGACCCTACAGGCTGGACTAACTACACAGCAAAATGATGACAACCAAGAAGGAGAGGTTGACGTCAGCTTGCTGAACAAACTGGAACACATCATTAAAAATGATGTGTGGATACTCGGATTTCGCACTGTAAGAGCAACTGACTATCTGCTGATGTTATATATTCTTGTTTTTGGGAGGACTTCTGATTAGGTGTCTCCTAGTGATTATAAATAATTTCCTGGAGAATGAATAAGATGGTATCTTTGTGTTCTTGCTGAACAGAGTTTCAAAAATTCAAAAACACTCCATGTTAAGATTTGGTGAACAAGTTTGTGTCATCATTTGAAGCTTAATGATAAATGTTGCTTTCTTTTATCACCAGCTTGTGTTCAGGGAGCTGGGACTTGTACGCTGTGAAGCTCCACTCAAGGCGTTTGAAGAATGTGACATACTTCAGAAAATCCCACCACTGCAGCGTCACGCCCTGTTGGTATACGACAAGATAAAAAAACACTGTTATTCTACAGGCAGCACCTACGTGGATCTGACAGAGCTTTCTAAAAAAAGGTTTCCTGAAAAATTGTCCAGTGATCAGGTTTCAGAAGCCATTAGTTTCCTCAGTGATGAGCGTGTAGTAGATGTACCTGAAAAGACAAAGGTGGTATTGCACAACTTTTATTTGTATGAGACGGGCATTGCTGACTGCCTGCACACCCTGGTGGACCGTGGACAATGGAACATCCCTGTAAATGCTACAGAGGTACTGTATGCAGCTGCAGTGAAGAGGCAACAGGAGAAAAAGCAAAATGGAAATGCAAGCCCTTCAGTTCAGTCAGATACTAACACAACCCAAAGACCATCATCTGCATCTTCAGATCAACAGGCTGGAACGGATTCAGGCCTTTCCCCTATTAAACTGGACCAAGACCATGTTCAAGCTGCAAAGATGATCTGTGCCAACCCAGTCACAATCATCAGTGGAAAGGCTGGCTGCGGGAAAACCACAGTGATCAGTGAGTTGTTCAAAGCTGCTGTGCTATGTGAACAGGAGGACATAGAGAAGGCCTGTGCAGACTTTGAAAATGATACTGGAGGATCCCTTGAGTGGGACGACCCAACAGCCTCACCTAGTCCACCACAGCCAGACAAGGAGCAACCAGCCATATTGAGTGAGAAAGAGATCCTTTTGACTGCTCCTACAGGGAGAGCTGCCTCTCTGCTGTCCAAGAAGACCAAGTTCCATGCATACACTCTGCATCAGGTACAAGCCTGTAATCAGAAAAACATACATTTATTTATTTTTTTGGTCACAGAAACTGCAAACTCAGAAACATACAGTATTTAGAAGATAGAGGAAAATTATCATTTAGATTTGTTTTTAGGGATTTACACAGTTTTTCAGATGGCTTAGGGTTTTTTTTTTGGAGCAGGGGTTAAAATTCAAAGGAAATTCTAACTTAGTTATTACCAAAAATATTGACACCCCAACATTTCTGTCAGATAACGCACCAGAAAATTCTTGCAATCACAAATTCTTTGTTATTCTCATATTTATTTCTTCCTTTAACCATCAGTGAGTTTCTTACACCTCTTTGCTGGAATTTTGGACCACTCTTCTTTTGCCAACTGCTCCAGGTCTCTCAGATTTGAAGGGTTCCTTCTACCAGCTGCTGTTCTGAGATCTCTCCACAGCTCTATGGGATTTAGATCTGGACTCATTGCTGGCCACTTCAGAACTCTCCAGCTTATTGTCTGAAACTGTTTCTGGATGCTTTATGAAGTCTGCTTTGGCTCATTGTCCTGCTGTAAGACTCATAACCTCTGATGGAGACCCAACTTTCTGGGCCCTACATTGTGCCCCAGCATCCATTGGTAGCAGTTTCTTTACTTGTAAAATAGGCTACATCCTGCTATCTCTATTGTTACTACTTATAAGAACAGCTCTCCAACAAATTCATCCCTACTTCATGTATTTTTTTGGAGAGGCTAAGGTTGTTGATGGCTGTAACTACTGTCCTGACTTGCTGGTACAGAGTATTATCCAGTTAGCTGTTTGATTAGCTCGGTGATTCTGCCAATCACACAAACGTTCGTCCAAACACTGATTGTTGCTAGACAGGTCATTCCTGTTGCCAGCTTATGTTACATTTGAGATCAAGTCACCTCTTTATTAGGTACACCTGTTCAGTCCCTCGTTAACGCAAATATTGATGGTTATGCGCAGTTGTCCCTCGCACATGTGCAATGCTGAAGAGATTTCTTTTGCACCCTGTGCCCTGCACTGGGCTGACCCTACTCAGGTCTGCTGTGGCTGTATAAATTCCTGCCTGACCTGAGCTCTGCTCCCTTTGCCAGTGCTTTTTCTTCACCTGGCAGAGGTAGAGTCAGCGGGGCTGCAAGCTTAGAGTGCTACGCCTATATCCTAGAAGCTTGGGTTACTGTATGTAACCATCATTCTATTTTCTATAGGCTCTGCTCTCCAAGAGCTATTGCTATTGGGGTAAAAGCATTCCTTCTGATATATTGCCTTTTTATGTCCATTTGGATTAGATGCTCTATAGTAGAGACAACCCTGCATATAATCAGGTGTTTGCATGCGGCATGGTAATGTTATAGATATTGTGAATTAGATCCAACTCAGTGTTTCCTGTGTTGTCCTTTCTCCTAGGTGCTGTTTAGTTTCATGATGAGACAGAAAGATGAAGAGGAACGTTTTAAAGAGTGGAAGTTCAAGGATGTTCGTATCTTGATAGTTGATGAGGGCAGCATGGTCTGTGTCCAGCTCCTCCATTCTGTCCTCAGATTGCTCACTGAACGCGCTCAGCTACGGAAGTTTGTTATACTTGGTGAGCAATGGCATTTTACTGTGTTTGCAGTCAGATTAAAACAGGGCTTGACTGTTTTTGACTTTTAGTGAAAATATGTTTGTACTCAGGCTAATAAAAGCTGCTGAAACTAGAAAAGTGGAGAGTGCAATCCCCTCAGGGCTGGAGCCCCACAAGGGCCATTAATGGTCTAGAGGCATGTGTGGGATCTGATAACATTGATAGAATCAATCATAGTTCCTACGATTTTAGTATGATACTGTACCAGCTAAACACTAGAAGCACTTACCTGACAGTTTAGCTGAATTAAAACTAACCATCATCTGTTGTCTGTGTGTTGCTGTGTAGGGGATGTCAGGCAGCTTCCAAGTATCCAGCCTGGAAATGTCCTACAAAACCTGTTTGACAGTCTGAGACCTATTGGGTGGACTGTTGAGATGATGACCAACCACCGTGCAGAGTCCCATCTCATTGTTAAAAATGCTGGACTGTAAGTATTTTTGTTTAACTTCAGTAACAGAAAATGTTCGCAGACCCACATACACTATGTGTGTAGTCTAGATAATACCACATGCAGTAATGTTGCTGATGTGTCGCAGCATCGCAGAAATGGGGGAGAGGCGTCAGTTTGGTCATCTGGAGTTTGATGCCAAAGTGGATATAGAGGAGTCTGGTAACACACTGTCTGCCGACAAGAAGTTCATCCTCGTCCGTCTCAACGACAATTGTGGTGAATTTCCTCACATTTGTTCTTGTATAGCTGGAGGTATGCCTGTGTCTCAGGCTAAACTGTGATCCCACTAAGATGCCTTAAAACTGATTTATAATTAATCTTATGATGGACCACACCAATTAGAAATCTTTTACAGTATCAGTTTGTGTTTGCTTTCTACCCAGTATTAATCATATTTACTTTCTTTCAATAACTATCACATAGAGACAGTCTGAATAAATTACTAAATGTTTGTTGTATTTCTGAAAAGGAAATTACTAAGTCTTTCAACTCAAAGTTGTCTTCATTATCTACTGCCTTAACCAGCATCAGCAACATGTCAGAGAGAACTCCAGCTGACCAGTCACAATCCTTGCAGTCTTCACAGTATGGCTCAGCAGCTGTCAAGTCCCAACTGTAGTTACTTTTCTGAGTAGAAGTGCACCAGCTATGGTGTGCATTAGCTGTCAGAGCTGTGTGTGTAGGCAGTAAGTGTAAGTCCATCTTTAAGACAGATGGCACCAACAAGTGTAATATGGATCTTAATGTACATGCATGTTGAATTTCAGAATTACAGAGGGCTGTCAAGTTCCTGATCGAAACTGCACCTGGGCTGGATGACGATGCAACTTCACAGTTCATTACTTTCAGAAGGTAAGAGTTTATAGGCAGTGCATAAATGAGAGGACAAGTGAAACAGCACTGTGTTATGATCTCAGGCTACTTCTTTTAGAATATTATGATCAGAGAAAGCTGAAATTTGCATTTCACAATTAGCCATTTGTTTTTACTGTGATTAGTATTGAAAACATTTTAGTAGTTTTCTGTTTGTGTTTTTTTTTTTTAACACAATTTACTAAGCCATAATGGATAGGAGGTGTCTGTTAGCAGAAATAAGTACAAGATGCAATCACAGTTGTCATGCTGGTAAGTAAATGCAAGGGTTGTATCTGACTAGGAATTTTGTCCGTCGATTGTCTTTTTAGCAGTCGTCTTGCTTTTGCCTCTCCATTATCCCTGAAGTTTAACTGACTTGGTGTTATATAGTGAGCAAGTGTTCCCCTAATTTGTTTGAGCAGTTTATAATAAAACAAACAAAGATTCAGCTAGAAGAGTCTTGAGTTGACTGACAGCTCTCTCATCTAATGGTTCAACTAGTTGACTTTCATGGGGCAGCCCTAGTAAACACTAGGTGAAGATTATTTTGCCCAAGTATAGGTTAGAGACTCAGAATAGTAAATTCTTAATTGGGTTTTATTTTCTTACCCTGAGACCTAACTATTCACACAAAAAACAACTACAATATTGACATGGACACATATGGGATTATCAGAGCACTAATGAAAGTCCAATTAAAGGAAATTTAATTTAGGTAGAAGTAAAATTATAACTGTTATTGTCTTATGTTTTAAAAACAGGTGAGGTGAAGGCAAAATGTTAAGAGAGCTGAATGGAGAGCTAACCAGCTGTCATTGTTGGTTAAATTAAAAGTGGTCCCTCAGATTTTTTTTTTTAAAGCATCCTGCGCGTCCTTTTTGCTCTTTCTTTGTCTCACTTTGTGCAAAAGCACGCAACCTCTCTGGTCTGGTAGCCACTGTTTCAGACCTTTAGCTGCCAAGATTTCCTCCATGGCTGGGTGTTTGAAATGACTACTTGCAGTTCAAAAAACACTTCTCATAACCTTGGCTAGGCACAGGGCAGAGAGGCTGGAATAACAGCATACGGGTTGTATGCAGCAGAATGTCATGGGAAGTGTAGGATAGCAGAGAGACATCATTTCCTGTCCAATTTTAACTGGATTTATCAGACAATGTGTAAAGTTTTACTGCACCATTTAAGTATGAGCTAGCTAAGCACTTCTCTTCATCCTTTTCAGTGGGAAACCACACTAGCAGCATGAATGTGTTATACATGACTTCATCTGTACCACAGAATGAGTTTCCCCTGCTGTTTACAAAAAGTCAGCTTAGTACCTGAGAGGGAACTCTGCCCTCCTGTGGCTGCAGATATACCAGTAGCTTCTTCGCTTTTGCAGCTACTCATTTAGCCCCTTTATTTTCTTCCATTGTCACAGTTTATCATGACTTTACATGTGAGCTTTTATTTAATATTCAAGACATTTTAATTAAATGTTTGAGCTGTCCTGATGGCATTGTAAGTGACATTTGTTTGCTAATAAGCATATTACAGACAGTATCATAATGGAATATAACACATGAGGCAGTAGGAAGTCGAGGCTTGCAGCAAATGCCTTCTGACTACTCTCAAAAAGTGTAACTACAGAAAGACGGTTATTCAAGGAGTTTTTAGGAAACATGGAAGTTGGCAGATTTTCTACTTCTCTTAAAATTGTATTCTTTTATAGGAATGATGTCAAATTGATCAATGAACTTTGCTGTAAGCATTACAACAAGCACACAACCAGGTAAGTGTCTAACACTGAATAAATGCCTGTCAAAAAACTTGCCAAACATTTTATAGCACTAGAAGTGTTTTCCATTAGTCAGATGCATTGGTGCATGCATTACACTGATTGGATATATTTTCTCCTTGCTGACAGAAACCACAAAAACAAGCTTGCCTTTCAGCCTGGCGACAAAGTCTGTTGCACCAAGAATGGTTACCTTATGAACATTGACGATACAAACAACAGGAATGATTTGATTCCAGTAGACATGGCAAATGATGCACAGAGTGGGAAAAAGGTGAAGAAAAATGATCTGCGTCTCTGTAACGGAGAGATTTTCTTCATCACAGAGGTCAGTATGATGGACGGCAGCTGTTTCCCCTCATCTCAATTTTGATCTCGGTTTGAAAATATACAAGTAAACACAGAGGTGTGGCTTTACTTAAAGGGCAGGTTCACATTTTTCAAGTCAAACTAAAAAAAAAAAAAAGCATTCTAAATTCCAGCTGAAGATAACATGAGCCTACAACAGTAGTGTAATAGTAGACTGGGTGTTTCAAGGGGTGCCAGTGTGGTCTGTCCGCTGACATTTACACAAAATGGATAGTAAAACATTCATTCATTCATTCATTCATTCAGTTTCTACCGCTTAGTCCCTGAACGGGTGCGCAGGGGGGGCCGGAGCCAATCCTGGACGGCAAGCGGGCGAAGGCGGGGGGCATACTGTCAGCACACCTTTTGTTTTACCTTGTTGTTTTATGTGTTTGAACATTTGTTATTTAAAAGTAAGTGTGTGGGGGGGGGGCTGTATCGCTTGGTTAGCAACAATCTAGATGTGTCAATCGTTCTTAAAGGGAAACCAAATGAAAGGTGGAAAGACTTGTTATTTTAGTTTGGAAAGTAAAAAAAAAAACAAAAAATGAATTAACTGCCACATTAATATAAAACTAGTCTCAGCTATGCTCCTGTTTTTGTCAGTTTCCATAATGGCTGGATAAAAATTCATTTGTGAATATAAACCTCTGGCAGGACAAAAAAGTGGAAGAAAGAGGACGCAGCAGGCGTTATGTGACTCTAGATGATAGGGACGGACGTGAGTTCACTGTGGACTACAGACAACTGCAGCGGGAGTGCAAGATGCAGCATGCCTGGGCCAGGACCATCCACACCTTCCAGGTATGAACAGCTTTGGTTTAGTTTTGACTGAGTGAATAGCATCCATGCTACTACTGCCTAAAGAGATTGATTTACTAAGTCCTCCATGATTCTTAAGTCATTATTCTACTATCAATAGGCTGTTTCATTTGGTTTATCTTTATTTTTGTTAGTGTTGCTCACATGAGTAAAACCAAACACTAGAAGGTGATGCACAGACGGTGACCTGCAGAGTCACTACATAGTTTCAGTTATGAAGCACAAAGGACAAATATTTCAGCTTGTCAAATAACAGTGTTTGATGCATTTGTCAGTTTTCAGGGAAAAGCAGCAAAAATATTACTACTTGTATGGGTTTGCCTTCACCAAATAAGGTGACCAGAATATTATGGAACAGCTCAGCTGCTGATGTGCTCTGAGAAAGGTGCGCAGTAGAAGACAGAACCACTTATTTTGCACCCGAATTGTAGCATGGTGTAAGATTGGTATCACCACAACTTCTGCCACTCCTCGCCTCCCACTGTTGTGTACAACGGGTCAATAAGACATCAAGTCCACACATCTGAGGACCCAGCGCAATGCTGCATTTGTGCCGTGCTCTAAACAAAAATAGACCCCTTGAGGTTCTTCTTCACCAGAACACTCCTGGTACATTTCATGCTTAGGAACTAAAATCCAAGAACTGTTTCAAAGGTACAGTTCTTTGTCATTTCTAGTCGCTGTCTGAAATTCCCTTTCAATGTCGTCCATTGCAGATTTGGACAACAAAACCTTGATTGTCTATCCATTGAGCCTGAAATTTCATGTTGGGCTGCTCCATGCTGATTTTCCAAACAAGCAAAACATAACAGCCCTCCATGTTCAGTGGCGGGTTTAAAACTCTGTGTTTAACATGCTGCATGGTGTTTTACTAGTCAGAAACATTCAGTATTGCAGGTCTTGCCCCCGATAGTTCCTGGACCTTCAGAAAGTACCTTTCCTTGACTATGTACTTATTTGGAGGGGTAGAACTGTGCTCCAAAACTAAATTTAGACCCTGGTTTCTCTGGTGGAAAGCAAGTAGAGGAACTATGTTCCAATAAAAGTTCCTGTCCCCTATGCAATTTCCTTTGGTGGAAACAGGGTTTTGGTCAAATTGTGGTTTCATTGATTACGGTCATTTTCAAATAGGCCAGGATTCCAGTGACTTTATTTATGTAACTTGAATTGTAATAATTTTTGTCTTTAATCTTTCAGGGTTCAGAGAATGAGACCATTGTCTATGTGGTAGGAAATAATACTTGGCCCCAGACATGGAAGCACATCTATACTGCTGTAACCCGGGGGCAGAAACGTGTTTATGTGGTTACAAGCGACAAGGCCATTGAATCAGTCATCCAGAGGCGTGAAATCCCAAGAAACACCAGACTTGGAGGTCTGGTAAAGGAACAACTGGTTCATCCCTGGATGCTGACAGGCATGCAGTCAAACACACAAACAACATCAGCAGGCAGCAAAAGGAAAATGACACTTTCTGCGGAGCATGCAGAAGTGCCTTGCAAACAGCCTCAGGTCACAAGCACTAACAGCAGTGTGTGATGTCCAGAGGTGATGCTTAATTCTTACTGTAATAATTGTATTCATGTTTAACTGTCCATGTGGGAAAGAGCTAAACATTATGAGGCTGTGATGTGTTTTTTTTTTTTTTTATGAAATCTCCCTCTAAAAAAATATGATCATGATCATAATATGGCAATGATCATGTAAAATAATTGGTCATCTTTATATTATTAACCATAAAGTTTTAAAATACAGTTGATCAAATGCACCATTTATTAATTGTTAGATTATCTTGTTAATGTGCAAGTGGCCCTTGGGCATTTGTTTGTCATGTTTTATAGGCTGAAATTATTAAAACATGACAAACAAATGCCACAACCACATTAAGGTCTTTTATTCAATCCATGTGCATGAACTCTTCCTGCAATGTATTTATTCATCAAACTTCTTCATTACATTCACACCTTACATGGTCTCAGGCAGTGTCTACAGCTTGTAAAGAAAAGAAACTGAAATACACAGAGTTAGCCATGGAGGCAGAAGAGCGTGGATGGAAAGTTAAAGTCTGCCCCATGGAGGTTGGTTGTATGGGATTGTAGCCAAGTCACTGTAGACCTGCCTTCACTCCTACACCCACACAGAACCTGTACTGGTGTTGATGATAATATAGCTACAGACTCACTGGAAGTGTTAATAGTCTTCTTTTGTTAGATAATCTTGGTAGAACAGTGGTCAGTGTCAGTGGTTGGACAACTGAGTAGACCCGGCTGACATTTTGTCAGTTTTAGCCTGTTTTTCTCTTGTAAAGCTGCTTCTGTTTACATTTGTTTTTAAGAAGTTTGGCTTCTTTTCTGAAATGAAAACCCAGGTTGTCGATTGTGCAGAGCTCACGGGGGAAAATAACTGCTTCAGTTGTATTTGTGCTTTGAAATGCAACTGAAATAATTAGTCAATTAGGTCATCAGTAGATGAATTGGCAATCAATCAATCTTAATATTTTTACATGCTTTATTGACTAAAATATACTGGCTCTAACTTAAAAACAACATTTTCTGTTATCACTTTTATAACAATGTAAATTACCAATGATTGGGTTTTGAAGAGTTTATCCAGTAAAACAAGTCAAATTATTACCTTGGCCTTTGGATACATGTGATGTTTTTTGTTTTTTAAATTTTATTAAGAAAACATACCAAAGGGTGACTGCTGTTAATCAGTTGGGCTGTTGTCAGTCAAGTGCACATTAGTGCAAATGTTTTTGTCCCAGTTTGTGCCCCAGGACGTACACTACCAGTCAAAAATTTTAAAACACTTTCCTATTGATTTCAATGGGACACCACTCACTGAATTCAGTGGGAAAGTGTCCAAACATTTGAATGGTTGGCAATACTTGCATCAGTGTAAACACAATACCAGCTCCTTCATGATTGTTGCACACTGCAGATAAATGGAACAATGTAGTGTTGTGTGCATCAACATCACAATCAGAAATAGGATGTGACTGCAGTGTGTATGTTAGAAGTTTTTATTTAAATCAAGTCTTGGTCGGTTATAGAAGGGTGTCCTGAAATGGCTCTTTATAGTTCCATAGTGTGAGCATGCAGTGGCGCTTTCTCCTGGATCAGGCTGACAAATTCATGTTTCTCCAGGCAGCCTCGACACTCTTCTCCCCACGAGGCTAAAATGTTCCTCAGCTCCACAACTCTCAGCTTTTTGAGCCCATCACTGCTCAGATCCTTCAGCTGAGGCTCTGTGGACAAACACACAATACAGAAACGGGCTTTATTTTGTGTCTACCTGCATACATGCTGGTTGGTTAGTCTTTGTTGTGTATTTAAAAAAACACTTTACCATATCTGAGCTCACAGATTTGTGTGTCGCTGCTGCTAAGGCGCTGGCAAATCTTCTCCACGGGGACATGGAAGGCCAGAGGTCGAGACACTGATGCTATGACGCGTGTTGCTGCATCAGTGCTGGCTCCAAGGTAGTAACACTAGGACGGCACATACGCATACGCTTGATCATCCTGGTAATTAGGTTCATATTGGTCGATTGTGCAGTTCACAGTTTATGACATGGAAAGTGGTTCATCAACTAAATGAAGGGCTCAAGTGAACATGCTTCAGTCGTTTCCTCTTTTTCATTAAAATAAGTTGGAAGAATAACCTACACAGCAGAGAACTGATAAAACAAATCAGAATTAGGGTGAATCATTGGGATTTAACACAAGTCTCTGCTGATATGGTCACATGGTAGAAATGTTTCTGTGCTTGTGTGTGCGCTCGCACCAGCCTGGCCTCCTTCCCCTGGGCCACAGTGCAGGCCTGGAGCAACTCTTCTTCCACCAGAGCAGGAGTGAGTTCTGTGTGGGCTGAGGTCAGTCTGCCATACAGTCTATGGAGAAAGCCCACACACACTGCGCACCATTTCACAAAGGCAACTCATCAATTCTGTTCATTTGGAGACTATATGGACAAAAACTCTTGAAAAATGTTCTATACTTAAAATATTTTCACAATTAATGGCACATCTGTTAAAATAAACACATCTGTTTCTATCTGTTTCCTGTGCTGATTGCAGTCTCACTCATTCTGTATAAAAAGCATACATTGGAAATTATGTATCAAGTAGCTAATAGTAATAGCTAACAGTATTGTTTTAGACTTTTTTTCAGCAACACTCTGTTTTTAAGAATGAAAATTTAAGTTTGTACCTATTGGGTGACACAGGACTGTTTTGAACAGGACACAGATCTTAGGACTCAAGTGTCAAAAGAGTTTTTTTACACACTGTGGCCTAAAGTGTGGCAAGCTATGAAAGATAATCAATATATGCGTCTGTAATTTTAGAGTAACTCCCGCAGAGCTCATGACTCAAATCTCTGCAAAATTATATTTGCAAAAGCCACCCGTTTTATCAGGACATGCAGGGCAGAATACGGCCACGTTTCAGACCTGTTGACTTGGCACATTGTACTGGTAAAACATAACCAGGCTGTAGGCTAATAACTTTTGCTCACACCATGCGGTCTAACCTTCACAGTTGTCTGTCGCAGAAAAAGTAAGCTGTCTGAAAAGCAACAGAGTGGCGAGGGACAACACCAACATTGTTTGTGGTTATTATTAACTACAACTGCCCCAGCCAGTAGCGAGACTCTGGACTCCAGCTGAGTCGCGCAGTTAAAAACAGACGAGCACAAAACAGCACCTCCCACATCAAGTGCGCCACTGTGCTATGTTTCAGACCAATGGGGATTTCGAATAATCCCCAATTTATTTCGTCCTAGAAACGACAGATAGGCCATAGGTATATACAGTAAATGCCCCATGAGCCAGTTCTGTCTATTACGGCAACATGTCACCACGGCCGCCATGTTCCTACGGTCAAAGCTGTGCCTCCTAATACATGTATGTGTATGAGGGCAGGGATCTTATCCACACTAAGTCATCATAACCCGCTGTTTGGTTTGTTACAAACCCCAGAGATGTAGTTATGATTCATGATGTTTGTTTCAAATTAAATGCAGATTTTCATATCAAAACACTTTTGCAGAATGTAGTCAAATATTATACAGTATAATGTAAAATGTACACTTCATAATTATTAAAGCGCTATTCCTGCCACCCCTCTGCATTGAAATGACTGCAATAATACATAATTACAACAAACACTCAAGTTAAAAGATTAACTGTAAGGAACACATCTGCCTTTGTGCAGCAGCCCTGACTGAGGCATAGCAAGTCAAGCACATGCTGCGCTCCCCCAGGTTGAAGCACTGGGTGTAACAGACTGACCTTGAGGGTACCACCATCACCACCACCACAGCAGAGAAGAAAGAGAGCAGTGGGGTAGTGCAGAAAGGGGTGTTAGCACCATGGGGATCTGTACCACGTTGCACATCACTGTCTAGCACTGGTACCCCAGGACCTGGCAACCAGGGCCCCATTAAACTAGGTCAGGATGGTGCCAGGAGGGAAACACGTCCCCAAATATCTCATCCACCCTCGACATGCTGCTGTTGAAGCTTTGCCACCTGGGCCAAGCACTATATTTGGACTGTGAACACTATGGCACCTGGTGCCGGGCCTTGGTGGACACGGGGTCCACTATTTCCCTCATTTGGCTGGGGATACTGCTAGGTATGAGAGGGTTGAGACTGCAGGGCTGGAGAGACACCCAGCTCTTGCACACTATAGTGACTGGTGAGAGTGCAAGGATGACAGGAGAGAGGACTCTTGAAGTGACTGTTGCTGGCCACACTGTTGAACATCAGTTCTGGCTGGCTAACATCTAGGACCCATGTATCATCGGTCTCGGCCTGCTGGCTAGGCAGGGGGCTGTGGTGTACATACTGTAGGACTAGGGTTCTTGTTACCATTGCTAACTCTGAGAGACGAGACAGTCCAAGTAACTACAAAACAGTGCTGATTTATTCAAAGGATCACAGGTAAAATTAACATTACACACTCAGGTATCTTGCACCTCCAAACTGCTCACAGGCAGATGAAAGATGAAAGACCCCAAACCAAACCAGGCCTATACATTATATCCCCTCGGTTGGGCTAGCCCCATACTACACAGAAACGTCAACCGGGACGTCTCTGTTACCAGCTTTGCAGCTGGCCATAGCAGTAGTCAAAACATGAAGCAAATCAATGTGTGTGTGTGTGTTGATTAAGTGGTGTGTAACTAAAAACATTCTCACAACCTCTAGTAACATGTCGTGATATTAAACATAAGAACATATTATGGCTAAGTCTACAGTTATACACGTCATAATAATAATATTAAACACCCTGTCTGCTGACAGTCATCAACTCTTCTCTCTAGTTATCCTTGACCAGATGTACCCTGTAGAAACTCATAAGCATGACTAAGCATTTAACAGTCTAACTAGACATCCTATCTCCACTAAACATTTCTAATACATAAAGTATCTATCCAATTTCTATCTGACTAAAAATACCTAACAATACCCAGCTCAACACTCCTCCTGGGTGCTAAAGCTGTGGCTCCCCACTAAGCTGTGGGGAAGGGCTGTGACCCGGTGTCTCCCAGTTGGAGGTTTGAATCTCAGTGCCCGAATCTCGGTGCCTGCAGTCCACATGTCAAAGTGTCCTTGGGCAAGACACTGAACTCCCACGTTGCCCCCTATGGTTAGAGCCATCGGTTGAGTTGGCGCCGCAGATGGCTGCCTCGATTTTGTACCGAAAACATATTCCTTGTATGTAACATACTTGGCCAAATAAAGGTGATTAATAGGGAGCAACATTAAATAAGGATGCGACTGCGATAAGGCAAACAACATTCTGCAGTGAAGAACCATATCATCAGTAGACAGAGACGCAGGACAGAGATTGGCATAACTCAAAACTGGGACACACAGGATAAAACATTGTCAAACTGAGTCAGTTAGTTTATATGTTATGTTTGTGTCAAAAATATACTTCAGAAAAAGACACTAAAGAGGCAGTTAAACACATGCTAAACTTCTAAACACAGAGTTGTATCAGTTTATTTGAAGAAAACTGGGTGAATTTTTATAATCTAATTTAATAAACTGAATAATTTATTGATTTTTGTAAAGGGGTCGCTAAATCTGGTTCACACCCCTGCACAGCAGGTGGCGGACACATACCTTACAATAAATATTAAATACAAAAGAAGAAGAAGTAGTACCGGAAGTTGTCCCTGGCAGCGGAACACTTTGCCGCATGCGTGAGAAGCATTCCCTTTACATTGAGCTCTATCAGCATGGCTGCGATTGGAGTCCACTTTGGATATACCTGCGCTTGTGTGGCGATATTTAAGGTGAGTTACGCTGTGTTTATTTTTGGTGGCTCTCTCACACGTCCTGCTTGGTTTTGATAGTCAGGGTTTTCATGTCACCTCCAAAATCTTACTGTCACAGCGCTGAAAATAAACTATACGTGCGAGTACTATGCCATTTTATCCGTGATTTTCAGCTAGTCAGTGTAACACAGCGAATAGGTACAACACTGCACTGTTTAGCATACTGTGCTTTAATGTTTTACTAACACTTCAATGTGGATTTGTTGTGCTTTGAACCAGCATGACAATAAAATATAGTACAGTTCGAACAGCACCACACGATGCTACAGGGAGAGATGGTATTTCAAATGCAGCGTTTCTTAAGTATTTAGTGAAACATTTTGACTCATTTTACTTCTTCAAACTGATAACAGAGTAACTGTAAATGATCATTTGTCTTAGTCCTATATTTATAATGTGAGTTGTGTTCTCAGTGATGCACACTGTTTACTCTGAAGGGTGAAGGTGGAGACAGACTAAGCTTTGGAAGTGATCACCCTACCCAACTAACCCTGAATCTAGCCAACCTGTAAAAGAAATGCTGTTCAACTGCTGGAATCTGGAGTTTTATTAACCCACTCATTACTCAAAGCTGTAAAGCTGAGGCATAGGTGAAGTTGGGAACATCTAGTATGCTGGTGATGAGAGAACATTACTTTTAGGCTCAGTTCCTATGTAGGATCCCATCCCTCCTGACATGACACCCACTTGTCTGCTGATCTCTTGCTTCGTTTTACCTGACTCATGACCTTGAAATCCACATTTGAGAAGCTGAAACAAATGAATGTTGGGGTTAATCTTCTGTAGATCAACTAATCCATGAATTGTTTTTCTCCTAGTATGTATGTTGTCCAGCTCTACCTGCAGAACTAACAATATCTAAGTGAGTGGCTGTAACTGAAATGGTGTGTGTGTTGCTCAGGATGGGAGAGCAGATGTGGTGGCTAATGATGCAGGAGATAGAGTAACTCCAGCTGTGGTGGCCTACAGAGACACAGAGCAGGTACAGCAGATGCTTCACACAGGAGCTTCATAGTTTTTCAGTAATTGCAGTGCTGATTATTGTTATTCTTCTTTTGATTAGTGAGTAATTCAGCTGTTAAAGCCTCTACAGCTTCTTCTCAGAGTGGCTAACATTTTGATGTGTGGCTTATATAGGACAGTGGAACCTCGGTTTTCGTGATTAATCTGTTCGAAAAAGTCCGACGAAAACCGAATCGTACGAAAACTGAAGCAATATTTCTTATAAGAAATAATGTACATCCAATGAATCCGTTCCAGATACCCAAAAATATTAACAAAAAAATACATTTTACAGAGAATAACTATATTTTTACATCCAGAAAACAATGAGAAATAAATATAAATGACTAATGAAATGGATAAATGAACATTTAACATCACTTTTACCTTTACTGAAGACTCTTGTTGGCATATGGAAGATGGCGAGGAGGAGAGGTTATTGTTTGGAAGGGGAATCCCCCTCCATAAGGACTTAATGTATCAAGGCCCTATCTGGGGTTACTTCCCTTCACTCATTTCCTAAGGGAAACTCATTCCTAAGGGAAATGAGTGGCTGAGTCACGCGGGCAGGCGGACGAGTTTGGTACGGACTAATGATGCTGAATCGACCAATCAACTGTACGAAAACCGAGCGGATGTACGAAAACTGGGACAAAATTTCAATGAAAAAAGTCGTCGAAAACCAAATCGTACGAAAAGTAGGGCATATGAAAACCGAGGTTCCACTGTGTTTGCCTCTGACTGATTTGTATCTTCTGCAGATTGTAGGTATTGCAGCAAAGCAAGGACGAGTCCGCAATGCTGCCAACACAGTTGTTAAAGTGAAACAAGTGCTGGGGAGGAGGTGACTCATTTAATAATGTCTTGTTTACAAATCTTAAAATTGCAGGTGATACAGTTTCATATCAGCTTGTCTCACTTGTTGAATATTAAAATCTAATTATTTTATCATGCAGTTTTAGCATACAAAATAAGATAATAATACATGTTTTAAAGCTGATTATAGCAGGGTCAGGCTTGGTACAGTAGGTTGTCACCTGCACCTTACAGCCATGCACTGAATGACTTGTTTAGAGTGACTTATGGATTCTCTCTCTCTCTGTCAATGGGCAGCTTTGATGATCCAACGACACAAGCTCACAAATCCGAGACAAAGTGTCAGGTAAGTGTGTTGACAGATCCACTTTGTGTGTTGTCTGTGCAGTTCTTCCAAGTGTTTTTCCCCCAAAATGTCTAAAGTGATTGCTTTACACCAGACATTTTGTTTCCTTTGTTGCAGTAGTCTTCAGTCAGTAGCATGTTTTGAATGCTCGGTTTTATTTTTAAAAATACTTGTTCAGTCCTAAACAGCTGTCTGTTCTGGTGAAGCAGTGAATCCTTAGTCTGAGCAGTGGCTGTTGTGTTCAGGTGGTCAGCAGAGAAGAGAAGCCTTATTATGAGATTACAGCAGGAGAGCAGTCAGAGTATGTTGCTCCAGAGGAGGTTGCAAAACTCATCTTCCACAAAATGAAAGGTGGAACACGCACACACTCACACATGCACACTTAGTGAAGCTAAGCAAACACTGGACGACTTTTATTGTTCATTTATGATGTGTTAACTGACATAATATGTTTAAATTGGGCCGACTGCACCGCCAGAATCTGCGATTTCACTGCCTGCGCTGTACATTTACTCCATTGGACACAATGTGGGTGCTCACACCGGATGTTTAAACAAAACCCTGGAGGAGCAGGTGTGTTCATTGACAACTCCAGTAAAGTTTGGGCCAACCAAAAGAAAAACCGCGTTGGCTTTAGCCATTTTACTTTGTACAGATGATGAACAACAGTAATCTGGTGTCAGTATTTCTCCTGTTGCTGCTGATCATGACAGCGTTTTGATGACACGTTGTACAGAATTCAATTAGCCTCGTCCTTATACGGTTTCTAAATATATTATATGCAGCCAGTGGATTCTGTGCCATGTTCTTATGTAGTTGTCTCTGTGCTCATGCAAGTGCACTGAACTATCTTCGGTCTGTGAATCTGCAACACAGTCAGCCATATTTTTGACATGTCAGAAATTCATCCAAGCGGTTGGGACGCAGGTTGTTGTTTCGTTTGGGTCATAAAACGGGAGCTGGAACCATGCTCATGCTGCACGTCAAATGACAACTAATCAGGCCAAAATTTTCCCCAATGCTAAAAGTAAAGTAAAGGTAAAGCTGCTCGGCTTAGATTGACTGACCATTCTTTCAACAGAAACAGCTCAGTCAGCTCTGGGCTCTGATGTCACGGATGCAGTCATTACAGTCCCTTTTGAGTTTGCACATGCTCAGAAGCGTGCTCTGAGGTAGGCCACCTTACCACCCACTACAAATGTAGTATTTTGTTGTGAGAAAATTGTTCCATCTGCACCTTTTAAGAAGGTCAACCAGTCTGTGTTTGTTCTCTGCAGGGAGGCAGCTGAAGCTGCAGGCTTCCATGTACTGAGGCTGATCCACGAGCCTGCTGCTGCTCTGTTGGCCTATAACATTGGACAGAACTGTTCTTCTGGAAAAAGGTGCAGCCCCAAAGACATGGCCCATGTTATTAAAGCTGACCTGTTTAGTGATTTGCTGATGTTCGCTAAAGTGTCCAAGTCAGACATGGTTGTTCTTGCTGAAATGATCAAGACCAGGAGGGATTTTACTCTGTTGGGTAATGAGAATTGTATTAAGGTCACCTGAAAACTCAAGACTGAACCTGTGAAATTAGGTCTGTGTTCACATCACCAGCCTCAGCGCTCAATTCTGCTCTTCTTGTCACATCTGATATTTTTGTGTTGATGCTTCATATTCATGGTTGTAAACGATGCATCCAGCTTTGATGTGAACACCATCGGTGTCCTAAACAGCCACTGTGTGAACTATAACATGGCTTTTGAGGGAGCTCACTTTTTTCCCACTTTTTTGTGGTCAGACTAAATGATAGATAAAACATTATTTCTTTAATTATCATTCCTATTGATAAGAATATGAATATGAATAAGAATAGAAAAGCACCACGGAGGCATGGAGAGAGACAGAGACCATTTTACTGTGCACACCCTCCTGAGTGAATATGTACACCTTTGTATTCCTGAATTTTATGGTTCATACATTAATTATCTATTTTATTTTCTGTTTTACAAATGTGAGAAGGAAAACAGGGTTCCTTACGTGTGCCACTGACTGTGACACTTGAAATGTTTCTAGTTAAATGTCCAACAAATGTGAAACGTCCTGGTCTCCCCACAACCCCCCCCCATAGTGGCCAGATCTGCTTTAATCTGTTCACACATCTGGCCATGATAAGTAACAACACAATGTTCAGTGTTACTTTATCGACCAAACACACTTAATATTCTCTAACCAGACTCCGAGTATAACAAAGCTAAATCAACAAGTGAGTTTTTTTTTTTTTTTTTTTTACCTGGTCAGTCACCTCCTTCACAAAGTGTGATTTCACAGCAGGGTGTTGAGTAGAGAGGACACAGGTGAATGAACCTGCCAGCTAATCACACTGATCTCGACTGTGCTGACAGCCACGTCCTGGTGTATAAGCTGGGTGGGACGTCGCTGAGCGTGACAGTGCTACAGGTCAGCGGAGGAATGTTCCGCGTTCTCAACACCCACACTGACCACAGCATCGGGGGAGAGAGCTTCACCCAGGCCTTGGCCCAGCACCTCGCCGCTGAGTTCAGACGGTAGCTACTGTGTTTTGCTGCTACTCCTCAAAGCTCTCCTAGCATTTAGTAACTTTGCATTTTCCAAAAAAAAAAACTGGCAATATTTTCCTTTTAAAGTTAAATCTGCAACAGAACAAAGTGTGTAGTCTGCATTATTTTAGCTAGGTATATCTAAGATTTTAGTAACTGTGTTTGTATGGCTGTTATTTGGCGATATTGTCTTGCGTTGTGTTGACAAATGATGTTGGTTTGCACTGTGTTGTACCCGGTACTTTCTACCATGCTAACTCAGAGACGAGACAGTCCAAGTAACTTCAAAACAGTGCTGATTCATTCAAAGGATCACAGGTAAAATTAACATTACACGCTCAGGTATCTTGCACCTCCAAACTGCTCACAGGCAGATGAAAGATGAAAGACCCTGAGCCCACCAGGCCTATACATTATATCCCCTTGGTTGGGCTAGCCCCATACTACACAGAAACGTCAACCAAGACGTCTCTGTTACCAGCTTTGCAGCTGGTCATAGCAGTGGTCAAAACATGAAGCAAATCAATGTGCGTGTGTGTGTGTCTGTTGATTAAGTGGTGTGTAGCTAAAAACATTCTCACACGACCTCTAGTAACATGTCGTGACTTAAACATAAGAACATATTATGGCTAAGGCTACAGTTATACACGTCATAATAATAATATTAAACACCCTGTCTGCTGACAGTCATCAACTCTTCTCTCTAGTTATCCTTGACCAGATGTACCCTGTAGAAACTCATAAGCATGACTAAGCATTTAACAGTCTAACTAGACATCCTATCTCCACCAAACATTTCTAATATATAAAGTATCTATCCAATATCTTTCTGGCTAAAATACCTAACAACTGCAATAAAAGTTGAGCCATGTACAGCCTTTATTTGTTGGCCATGCAACTTCTCAGTCTTCCAGGTCGTAGTATACTGAAAAAACATACGTAGGCATAGTTTTAGGTAGAAGACGTTTCACCTGTCATCCAAGAGGCTTCATCAGTTCGTTGCCATTTGTTTGATGGCCCTGCGTGTGTGTGTGTGTGTGTGTCTGTCTGTCTGTCTGTCTGTCTGTGTTTTAATTTCTTGTCCTACCCTGACTCAAGCTCCTTCCCTTCTCTCACATCCAACCACATCTAAGTATTGTCTGATTTTTTTTTTTTTAATGTATGCACAGTCGTCCTCATGCTATTCTTCTGTTTGTTGTGCAGCACCTTTAAGCATGATGTGAGCAGTAATGCTCGGGCAATGCTGAAGCTGATGAATGGAGCTGACATGGCCAAACACTCGCTATCCTCTCTGGGATCAGCCAACTGCTTCGTCGACTCCCTGCACGACGGCATTGACTTTGAATGTAGTATCTCTAGGTAAGCTGCTAAGATGACAGATTCTACATGATTATACTTTGAACACAAATTGAACATTATCATCTTCATCACAGAGGATTTTTTGCAGGACTTTGGGATGAGACTGCATTAAATTTAGCTAGGTGTACCTAATAAACTGACTGAGTGTATGTGATTAGCATTGTCAGAGCAATGAGTCCAAGTAAGGTGCATAGACAACAATCCCAACCATGTGTCCTAAGATCTACCAGCACTCCCACCATGCAGATGAGAAAGAAACAGCTGGGGATTCCAGCTGTGATACCTAATAATGTTATGTTAAATGTAGGGTTAGTGATTCAAGCAAGAGGAAGCTCAATTTTGAAAGTTCTGACTTCTCTCCAAAGCCGCCACCCCAAAACGCAACGCGCACTGTCTGAATACTACTTAAAGATTTCAGGAAAATTACACAATTATCAATACAAATTATGAATTCAAATTATAAATTAAGTTAATACAATTATCAATACAAATGACAAAATTATCACTGGACAGCGATAATTACCTGTCCAGCAGAAATACGGTCACCATGGCATCACTTTTCAGCCCCTTTTGTTCTCTCAGTTGTCGCCGTCATTGAAAAGCCACACCATTGTTAATTGTTAATTCTGGTTTTACTTCTTGCAGCATCCAACTTCTTTTTAGTTGTGTCTTTCTTGAATACGGTGTTACATGCCTATATCTGCAGCCCCAAACCATAGTTGGGGACCTCTGGGTCATGAATAAACTGCTTTAGCCGTAGCCCGTAGCCAGTAACTATCCTTAGAAGTCTGTGCTATTCCAGCAGCGAGAAGGGAAGAGGGAGGCCAGCTACAATTCCTTTCAAAGCAGGCTTTATTTTGTCTTTGTAACATGAACACTGCATGTGGCCTCGATGCTGGACTTTTTCTGTGTTGTTAGTGCATTTAATGTATTATTGCCATAGGGATGACAAGAGGAATTCAAGATATGCAACATAAAATGCATCTGAAAAGAATCACCAACCCTACCTTTAAGTTACTAAGGGGAAGCATAGCTCAACAAGGGAACACACTTTGACACAACACTGACAAAAATGGCTTGCAAAGCTTATGCTGGGGGCTGGGAGGAGCGGAGTGGGCGAATGCTCCTCTTTGCAGTGACCACTTATGTAGCTATCTAACTGCTACTCTGCTGTGCACTTGCAATGAGCTGCAATCACTAATTGTCCTGTTTCGCAATGATCATCCAGTGTCTTTAGAGCTGTGTCACTGGACCTTTGAGAGTGGCCTCAGACACTGAAGATGCAGAGAGACCCAGTACTTCTAACTATATGGGGAATACAAATGAAGCCAGAACTTACTGATGGAGTGTTGACATCTGGCTCATTGCCAGTTTGTTGACTGAGGACTTGACTTGAGGAATATATTTGATTGATATGTTTGGATCTAATGCAAGTTGTAGACTATGAGTCATGTTGCTATCAACATGATAACATCAGTGTGGTGTTTCCACAGAGCACGATTTGAGTTGCTCTGCTCCTCACTCTTCAACAAGAGCATCCAGCCAATCAGAGCCCTGCTAGAGGATACGGGACTTTCCACCAGTAACATTAACAAGGTATATCAAGTTATACAGCTGTTGTTTGAAATGAGTTGCTTTTATTCTGATAGTGAATTGGTGTGAATATGAGTAAAAGAAAATCAAAGTCCTGGATCCCTCAGTAGTAAATGCTCCTGGTTTTGATGTGATGTGTGTGTTTAGGTGGTTCTTTGCGGTGGCTCAGCCAGGATCCCACGGCTTCAGCAGATGATCCGTGACATGTTTCCTGATGTGGAGCTACTCAGCTCGGCACCGCCTGATGAGGTCATTGCTGTGGGAGCTGCCCTGGAAGCAGGCTTACTGGTCGGCAGAGACAACCTTGTCCCAGAGGAAGAGTCTGTCACAGTGGATGTTTCCGCCACTGACATACTAGTGAAGGTTTACCAAGTTAGCTTAAAAACTCACAATCAAATATTGCATGTACTTGTGTTTTAATTGTATTCAGTTTTACTTGATCTAAATAGTCCTAGATCCTAACCTGTTCTCTCTGGGTTGGCGGTGTGTGGGTGTTAAAAGGAGATGGATGAATCTGGAGCTGAGGTGTTCACTGTTGTTCTTCCATCGGGCACACCACTTCCTGCCCGCAGGCACCACACAATGAGTGGACCCGGGAAACTGTCCTCCCTCTGTCTGGAGATTTACCAGAGATTTGTCATGGAGCAGCCAGAAAAACTAGCTAAGGTATTAAAAAAAAAAGCACTAACACTGGGTCAAGTGTGAAATTACAGACATTTAATGATTTTGCTGGAGTGCCCAGTGGCAGTTCCCCCCCCGTTTGCTGATATGTTTACAAACTACAAAACATAGAAACCCAGCATATATTTTTGTCATTTATAATGAATGAATTAACCTGTTAATAAAAAATACCCACTTATCTGCTTGTGTCTATATGTTTGTGTATAATATACAGATTATCTTAAGAGACCTGCAGCCTACAGAGGACAACCACAACATTGACATTGTGGTGACCATGAAAAGGTATACATCTTTCCAGGATCAGTGCATGGGCTACTTGATGTGAATGCTTGTATGTCATTATTTGTCTGTGTTGCAGGGATGGCTCCGTTCATGCTTCCTTTGTAGAGCAGAGCACCGGAAGATCTGAGGTCGTCACCATAGCGGCTGCTTCATAAAGCCATGGGACCACAGTCCAGACCACACAACACACAGGACACTGTTTTCGTTTTCTATTTTTCACCCAATAAACATAATGAAATCTGGACTACTTTCTCAAATTTGTTACTGTATGAATTTTTATGCAATAATTTAATAATGTACCATGTGTCCTCTACTTTGGTGGTGGTTGTTGTTCTATCACCAGTAACTGAATGAATTATGAGCAGCATGAGGCGAGTGTGTACCACACAGGTAGAAAAAAGTTTTTAAAATGGGTGTTATTAGACACTACTATGGACTAGTATAGAGTCGGTAGCAAAAGAAAAGCTACTTTTGTTGAACTGTTCATGTAGCTGCAGCTAAGGTGATGGCAGTATGTGAATACAGACACATGATTTCTGCTCACAAATCATTTGCTTTATTTCAAAAGCGCACAGGTGTTCAGAAGGAGTGATGGGACCCATATACACAGTTATGATACACAGGACTTATACTGAAAGAGGTAGGGGATTTTGACCGCAATCTTTCAGTGTACATATGGCACATACTACGATATTGAGCTAGATTTTCTTTACTAGCTGCATCTACAGAGTCATCACATGATTTGTTTCATCAGATGACCTCAGTAGTGTATTGCAGTGTTTAAATGGAGTCTTCTCTTTCTATCATGTATCTCTGCTGTAGAAATTACAAAAGAAACATTGCATCCATGTTCCTTTAAAGGTTTTATATGATATTACTATATCTGACATGAAAAGATAACTATAATAATGTATTACATTTATGCCCTCGTGTTCACACTTAAATCATGCTTGTCCAAGCTCAGGCATGAAGTGAGGAATATGCAGAACCTTTGGGTTTCACAAGCACCTCAGTCATAATAGGAGTGACCATACAGTATGTGTGTATCACTTAACATCCCATATCCTGCAGATACAAAAACAACAAAACCTACAGCTTTAGCCATGTAATTTCAACCAAAGCATTTTCATTCCAATGTGCTGACTTTTCTGGGCGGTAAACAGAACTTCTATTGTTTCCTGGCCTTTAGCATCCATAGTCTGGCATGATGTGACGCTTAAGCATTTTTAGGTAGTTCTGGACTTTGTTGGAGTCTCAGCGAAAGCAGTAGAGGAGGTCATTGTCTTTCATGAGGCGCCACTCAGCACTGTCAGATGGCAATGAGGCCTCTGGAGAAGCCTGGCTGCTAATGGAGCTATTTATTATCCCCAGCATCAGCATCTGGAGCAAAGGATACGCATGCATACATCAGCATTGCACAGATACAAACAAATCATTTAAGGTAGAAGCCATTCCAGTGTTTGTGAATTTGGGGTGGCTGTGGCTTAAGAGGTAGAGCAGGTCATCTTCTGACCGGAAAATCAGCAGTTCAGTACCAGGCTTGTCCAGTCCACATGTTGAAGTGACCTTGAGCAAGACACTGAACTCCTAGTTGCTCCCGGTGATGACACCTATGTCTGAATGGCCAAATTGTGTGAAAGCACTTTGAGTGTGCTGCAGTGCATAGAAAAGCACTTTACAAGTATAAGACCATTTGTTTGGTGATGTAAGGACTTCATAATTTGTGATTCATTCTCATTTCAGCATGACGGGATAACATCCATGGAGGTGCCACACATTGTGCTAATTTTATTTATTTATTTATTTTGGTACAATGCAGTGTTATTAAATTATGTTGAAACCTCCTGAGGTCAAAAAGTCTTTGGGTTCTAATACCTCTCACACCTTTAAATGTTTAAGAAGCATCTGTACAGTTCCTTTTTCTCTATTTTAAACTAGAATTTCTATACAGTCCAGGTAACACATTTAGCAATATCCCCAATACAAAGTCAAACACAAAAATGGAAAAGCATAATGAAAGAAACTGCACGAGGATACTTACAAACTCCGACTGAAGGTCATTTGAAATATCATGCATCCTGGCTGGGGCCTGGTCCCGGATAAGCGGAGGAAAATGGATGGATGGAATGGCATCCTGGCTGAGTGTTGGATGATCTGGTCAAACAGGTTAGCCAGGGAGAGGACATGACACCTAGCCTGGGTATTGGTACAGATGGGTGCTGCATCCATGCTGTTAAGTCTTCTGCAGGATACCAGACAGACCAACACCACCCACACAACGACCACTAGGAGAGTCCAAAGGTCAAAGGACCAGAAGAGAAATTAAACAGGTTTCAAGGCAGTTGTTCTTGAGAGTGTGGTATGTCAAATCCAACTATGTGAAAAAATGGTTTGCCATACTATGTATTGGAGAATGAAAAATCATGAATGAAATAAAGAGGCAGCTTCACAATGGAGAATTGAATATGTAGACAGCAGGATGACATGCAGAAAGACTGACAGTTTTTCCTTTAGGTTCCTTCATGCAGTTATATTCCTGGAATAGCTACCTGATTGGATGTTCCCAGGCATTCTGCAGGGTGCGGAGGAGCTTCTGTCTCAGAGCAGTGGGTGCAGAAGGTTTTATATCCAAAGACCCCTCTCTGTTTCCTATGAGGGTTCCTTACTCACTATTTCCCTTTTACACACTTGAAGATGTAAGAAGAAGAGTAGGAGGGAAGGAGAGAGAGTGGGGATGAACGTGAGTAGAAACTCTCCTGCATGTGTGTGTGTGAGATCATTTTGAAGTAACCTAAAGTGTTCTGCAAGAGCGATGACATCATCAAGCTAGGACGTCAAAACCTCATTGGACTGTCCGAAACAGTTGGGTAGCTGACATTTTAAGTACACTCAGTAGTACCTATTATGAATGTCTGTATGTTCTCCAGGTTGAGATGAGATACCCAGCCTATTAAAAGGTCAATTATAAGGCTCTGGGCACAAACAGGAGCCAATAATGACACCATACAGCAACAGTAAATGAATGTCAAGCTGGTTAAGAAGCTTGTTCAGATTGTCTTTGTTACAGGCAGTTGACTCACCTTTCTCATATCGGTTGGTTGGCTAATAAAAAAAACTACAACAGAAAAGGACAATGGTTATGTTTGACTTCTTTTGAAAAGGGAGAAATTTAATTATATTAGGAAGCGTAAATTCTCCTAGTTACTAAAACTTAGACTAGTAGTGATAACAGCAATACTACAGATATAATAATTGGTTAGTTAATATTTTGTTGCAGTTTTGAAAACACTGGTAATATATTTTACTGAGTGTGTTACTCATCTTTAATGGCCTAGTACTACAGGCTGCTGCACTGTTTGAACCTACATATTTACAAAAAAACAAACAAAATAAACATACACTGGCTGTTGAAAAAGAGGGGTTTTAAATTATTTGATTTACATCTATCAATCTTTACAAAGTTACATGCATCAAAAAACTGTCATTCCTAAATCTTATCTATGGGGAGAAACACCTGCTTTATTCCAAATTTCCTTGAAATGAAACAATGATGGTGAGGGAGCTGCTTTTTTATTATCTGGTTTATCACACTAATCTTCATTTTTAGTCTAAATTAAATTTTGTTTAAAGCCTTATATTTACAATAGAGAGAGAGCAACAAACTAAGTCTGTGTGCTGCTGCTCTGTCATACTACTAGGGGAAAGTCTGACATGGGTTAGAGCAATCTGGCAGTGTCTCGCAGCGTGAGAAGCTGCCTATATGCTATTGTAACCAAGTGCGATTAATGAGAAGCAGATGAAACCAATCTGGATAATGAGAAAAAGTTCCCGGGAGTCAGGGTGAGGTGGGGACAGGAAGTAGTATCAAAATAAAAGCATGGGACAGGAAGCAGATGGGACAGAATCATGACAGTACTCCCCCCACAAGGATGGATCCCAGACATCCAAACAAAAACCAAAACCAGAACCAGGACCAAGCAGGGAGGGAGGCAGAGGCCAAGAAGCATGGTATGAAGAAAAAAGAAAACCCAAAAGACAAAACCAGTGTGATGATGACCTGGTGCCGGGAATTCAGAGAGGCTGCTCAGGAGGGTGGCCACAGGACCAGGCAGGAAAGCGGAGAGGCCATTTGGGAGGACAACCTCAGCACCAGGCTGCAAATCTGGGAGGCTGACCTTGGAACCGAGTAGAGGACTTGAGAGGCCGCTCTGGAAGACGGCCACAACTCCATCAATGCTCTAACCATCAGGGGCAACAGGGGGCTTCAGTGTCTTGCCCAAGGACACTTCGATGTGGACTGCAGGCACCAAGATTCAAACCTTCAATCTTTTATTTGGGAGCCAACTGCTCTACCCACCGCACTGTCACCTCCCCGACTGTTTCTCTTCAAGAAACTTCACATTCAAGAAAAACACATTCACACAGAAGGACACAGGCAAAAGAAGAGGCTGGGACTCCTGGGGGATGATCTAGATCTAAACATCTGGAATAAGGGCTTGCAAAGGACCCCTCCAAATCCAAAGAGAATGAGAAAAAAACTAATTTTTGTCCTTTAGATGGCACCAAAGCTCCACAATAATTATTCTGCACTATTTTAAATCTGACCTTCAATTATACTTGAGATTTCAGAGTGGCAAAAAGAGCAAAAACTCAATTTCAGAGAAGTACTTATAATTGGACCAGATTTTTTGAACAATATTTTTCAAGATGATCTATTTCGGGAAAAGTTTTTGTTGCTAAGTTAAAGTTACTAAGTTAAAGAAGTGTCACAAAATCATTAATAAATGTTACCTCATTAAACACATTTTTAAAAAATATGGAAACTTTGCTGATACAAAGTCTACCTTTGGTAACAAGCATTTGGTAAATGTTATTCATTCGTTTTGGCAATGTGAAATTAGTCACAAATTCTAGAGATTTTTGTAATGTTACTACTTCCGCACTTTACAAAGTCAAACTGTGTCTTACCTGCTATTTTATAGATCTATTATAGGAATATTTATACTGATGATATTTCTCTGTCTCATAAGTAAGCTATATAAACAGCCTATTTATGTTAAGTATGAATTAAGATGTCAACCATAGGTTTTTTTTTTATATATATATACTTTATTAAGGCATACGACAGTAGTTATACATAAGCAAATAGAACGGAAACAAAAGGACTATAACATAAAATAAAGAACATAAAAACAAGAACAACATCGAAGCAGACAATGTGAACATGAAACTTTTAGGCCAGGG